GAAGCATTTTTTCCTCCCTCGTGAAGACATCTCCCCCTTCTCGTAGTCGACGGCCTAAAGGGGGGGGGGGGGGCAGAGAGCAGAGAGCCTGGAGACTCTGGGGTTCTGTTGGGTCGGAGTCGGCGGCGGCTCTCAAGGCGATGTTCGTGCAAGTGGCGCAGGGCACGTTCCCTCCCAGTGAGAAGCGCCTTCGCGTGCAAAAGTGTGTCCCGTTGGAAGTTCTGCACCGCCATGCGCTGCTTTCATTGGGAGTCCGGCACAGATGGTGAGCAAGTGAGCAGAGCATGTCTGTGGCAAGCTCAGGCTTGCGCTTTTAGCTTAGTGCCCGGCTTTTCTTTCCGTGAGGGCCGGGACAGGAGCGGAGCTGCTTAAGGTCATGGTCATACTGTCTCGTTGACCCCTTCACTCCAGCCCTGCCAGCAGCATGAGCAGTACTACCAACAAGTAGTATTGCAGATCTCGCTGTTGCTGCAGCCATGGGGCAGACGGCGTGTTGCTGCGAGAAGACCGATGATGAAAGGAATCCGCAGGGAAGCAGAAGTAGCACTTGGTCTCCCGAAGAATTTCAGGATAAGATCATTGCGCGTGGTTTACGGGCCGAAGTGGATTTCAAGAGAACTGTGGCGGTGCAGCAAGCATTGCAGTCAGTAGGTCCTTTGGTTGTTGACCATTGCAAGCATCATCAAGCCAAGGCCGTGGAGATAATTTCGACAATCAGATAGCACTTGCATGCGGTCCGCATGTGCTGTTCTTGCAGCAGGCTCGTGTCCTTGCAGACCTTGACGCCTGGGGGCATTGCTTCGACCGCAGACTTTGGTCCGCATTTTGCTGTAGCTTGCGGTTGTGCTCCTAGTGCTGAGAGGGTTGTGGCGCACGTGGGGTCGATATGCCCGCACGCTCCATCCCCACAACCTGTCTTCGACTTGAAACCCCTACCACCCCAACCCTTGGGCAGCTGAGGATTCCCTGGTGTGCACCTCAGGAACAGACCTCCCTGGCTGCTGTGTGTCAGCTTGCCGAACTTGAAGCGCAGCTGTTCCATGCTGTTCCGAAAAGCCCCTCCCCCTTATATTTTACCCCCCCCCCAATATTAAATACCCCCCCATATACCGGAAAATAACCATAAGGGGGGTATAGGGGGTATTCAATATTAGGGGGTAGTAGGGGGGGTTGAATATGAGGGGGAAGGGATTTAAACGCTTTGAGCTCACACCCGTGGCTTTGAGGTCTTGGGGAGCAAGATGGACGGTGCTGTGAAGAGTCCGGCAGCCGGAGAGGTCAGCTTTTGGGACCAGCCGCCTGGACGAAGGGTCCCCTTCACCCCTAGCAACCCCTTCATGGGCAGGTTCTAAGGGCCCGAAGTAAGGTTTAACCTACATACTTATAACCCAACTTGCACGTACCCATGAACCTCCAAGTGAGCTTGCTTTGTTACCTTCGAAGCCGCTTCCGTATGGGCAAGAGGACCCAGACGACAAGGAACGAGTCCTGTCAAGTGCTTCCGAACATTCTTAGTGAACTGCCTCTCCACACCCTGTCGAGCCTCAAAACCTTCATTGAAGGACCCAGCACTGACCTCGAAACCGAGGTTGGAGGGCGTGTATGTCCGAGAGCACGACGGGAAGTACATGGCCTCTGCCTAAGCCGACCTCGCGCCTCATTGTGTCTCTGAGGGCTTGTCGAACAACAGCCCCTGAAACACGAAGTGACGGGCGGCTAAGCCCTAAACCCTAAACCCTAAACCCTAAACCCTAAACCCTAAACCCTAAACCCCTAAACCCTAAACCCTAAACCCTAAACCCCAAACTAAAAACCCTAAACCCCAAAAGCCCTAGACCCCAAAAGCCTCGAGGCTTGCATCCAGCCCAACCTCGTGCTCTGGGCCGACGAGTTTAGCTCGGATCCTACGGAGCTTTCCATCACCGGCGCCCGCGAGGCCGGCTCACTTGACACTTTTAGGGGAGTTAGGGGCTGTAGGGGCTTTAGGGTTTTGGGGGTTAGGGATTTAGGGTTTAGGGTTCAGGGTTTTAGAGGTTAGGGATTTAGGGTTTTAGGTGCTGCTGTGGTTCTTTCTTCTTTGATATTCATTTTCCTTAATGTGAGACTCATTCTTAGTTTCGTTTACTTAGTAGATGTTGTCGATGAGTAGTGTTTGCGTTGCTAATGCGTTGTGAAGCCTGGGTCCCGTGTCAGTCAGGACCATAGAGCGGTGTGCCCACTTGGAGGTTCATGGGTACTCATCAGTAGGGCTTGTTCTGTAAGTACCCTAATTAGGGGTTATAAGCATACTTACCATACCTGCAGTCCTACTTATAGCTACCCATGAACCTCCAAGTAGCCCTAAACCCTAAACCCTAAACCCCAAACCCCAAACCCAAATTACATCTGCTGCCGGGGTCTCATGTAGCTCTGCTGGTTGCAAAGCCGAGAGTCTTGGCACTTCTGCGCAGCCGGAGTCGAAGATACACTTTTTCCCAAAATATGGTTTAGGGTTGAGGGTTTAGGGTTTAGGGTTTAGGGTTGAGGGTTGAGGGTTTAGGGGGTGTAGGGTTTAGGGTCCAGGGTCTAGGGGTACTTTCTTGGGGTTCGTTTTGGAAGGGAATCAATCCTATTATTTGAACCCCCACATGCAGCGGGTGGGATGGAGGCTTCATCTTGCTGCAGTTTTCAGTGCTGCACTTTTGCAGTGTGCCGTGAGGGCCCAGGCATGTCCACTGGTGTCAAGAGGATGTTGCATCTGAGTCAGGGTTTATGGTTCTGTCATGGAGCTCCCCGCTAACACCCAAAAGCCACCCCTGCCGAAGCTCCACATGTCCCAGGTCTCCCTTAGCCTTGGCGGCCGGATTTACACCGCGCAGATCTCACCCAGCTTGGGGACCCTAGTCTGGGACGACGGAGAGGTTTGGACGAAGCAGAAGCCCAAGGCTTGAAAAAGCTTCGTCCCGACTCCCAGGAGAGGGGAAAGAGCCACGGTTTAGGGTTTCGGGTTTAGCAAAAAGGGTTTCAGATATTCTTGTACTCGCTGGGCACAAATCACTTAGTCAAGCTCGAGGGTCGGGGGATCAACCGCGAAGGATTTTCTACGCTGACACCGCAGAGGTTGATACACATCGACTCCCCAGGCCCCTGAGTGCCTTCCATACAAACTGTACCTCAAGAGAAACCCGACCCCGATGCTGATAGAGATTGAAACATTGCTGCCACGTTGATGTGCGGCTTGTTTTCCTGCAGCAAGGTCCCCTGTACAGCCTAAGCCAATCCAGCCCGATGCCCTCTGTGAATTCGACATTGAGGGGTTCGGGGAGGAAGCCCTGATGTCCTTCACATCGAAGCTGTCGGCCCAGCGGACCCCGGCAACCGTCATGCATCAGGAGTTCCTGAGAGGAATTCAACAGACCGGATCAGGGCCCATACGCGGCTGAGTCAGAGGGCGCGGCCCAAAATATCGGTCGCGATGCTCTGCGAAGCATTCCGGACTTCAACCACTCCCTGTTTCAGAGCCCCTGGAGGAACCCCAGTGAACCGTGAGGGTTGCCTGCTATCCCTAAAACTTATGTCATGAGTCTGTCAGTATGTCATGATCGTTAAAGGCTGAGTATGCAGATCGGAGTCTGCCCAGAGTGAGAAAGTGGCCAGCAAAACGTGTCGGGGTTGCAGGCTGGTTTCGTAAACATCACTTGTAGCGAGGTCGATAGGGCGAGCTCCGCAATCTATGGACTGCGTACCACATAGTCGGATCCCCTTATAATGAGGGTCCCAATAAGGTACCCCTTTATATGAATGTTTGATCAAGGCTTTGCCGGCTTGGGGCCAAATCGAGGCGGAGATTCGGCAACACGAAGAGTCGGCGGTTCAGACTCGAAGTTCAGACAGCAACTTCGGTGCCACTTCGGTGGAGCACCACGTGGATAAGGCAGTAGAGCCTGAAGAGCCCGAAGCCTTGCGCCGTTATTCCTGCTCAGCTTCTTGATCGCAACCTCGCCCCGAGCCGACTCATCTGCAGCCAGAGACTCTAGGAAGACATGTCCTGCACCAACATGACGGAACCCTAAGCCCCGATGGAGCACAACCGGCCCTCAGTTCTTCGAACCTCACGTACCGGAAATTGCTTTCACACAGCCCTCGGCCCGAACAACGCAAGCTTGGTAGCACACCGCACTACGTGAAAAAACAGTTTTTAGAGGACCTGACAGGCTTGAGTCCGCAGCACAAAAACGGCTAGACGACCGGACGCTCGCTGAACTCCTTTGAGCATTGGACCCGAAGCACGTCGCAATCCTGCACCCTGCCTCCGACACACCGCAGTTTGGTCGTGGCATGGCAGCCTCCCACCTCGCCCGTGCGCGGTGAGAGCATGGCGCGCATCGCCCGCCGCGCCCTGCGAATCAAGGAGTGTCTCCTGGAGCTCTGGAATGCGTAGGGTTCTGTGGGCTACAAAGCAAGTTTGGCCTGAGCCCCAACCTCTCCTGAGCAGCTTGAAGCCATTGAAGTCCTCCAGAGGAGCTACCGCTCTTCAGCTTGCGCCAGTCTTTCCCAGAGATTGCTGAGCATTCTGGGGTGCCTCCGATGCACGAGGGGCAAGCGTGCATGCGTTGTTTGTCTGCCTGCCCGTCCTCTTTGCTTGCATGCAAGCATGCAAGCCGTTCACGTAGTGTAATGCTAGCATCAGGTAGTGTAAAGTGAGTCTGCAAGTAGGTCCAGGTAGGTATTCATGCTGCTTGCAAGTATCTAGCTCAGGTTTTCCTGCATACTGGCATTGCGCGGGGTTGTTCTTTGCTGTCTTTAAGTGTACGTGTGTTCGTGCTTGGTCTGTGTCTCATGCTACCAAATGAACTTCAGAGCGTGAAACATCCCGCCACTCAAGGAGCTGCCGCTGAATCTGTTCGAGGATCGCTATGCGGCTCGGCCTTGCACGGAACTGCAAGGAACTGCCAGCGAGAACTTTACAGGGTTTAGGGTTGAGGGTCTGCTGGTCTCTGGTGACTAGCGACTGGCGCGGCATGAGCAGCTGGAAACAGCAACGGCGCAGAGAAAGGCTGTCGACTTTGGCCACGCACCAGCACGGATACCCATCGGACGCCCAGTTCCTCACATCAAAGACTAAGACCAAAACCCCACGAAGCGCAACCTTCAGGCCCCAAATCAAGAATGATAATATGGCACTGTAATGATACCAGTATAAGAACTTCAGGCCCCAAATCAAGACTGATAATAGAGCACTATAATCATACCAGTATAAGAACATCAGAATGGCACCACATCACAATAAGACACCAGCTGAAGAAGGTGGAGCTGGCTCGGAGACTTGAGTCCGGGACCCCACAGTTCGGCTACACCGCGGTGTCGCAGCGGCGAGTGGGCGGGCGAGGCCCTTCTCCCCCCTCACGGTTTTGATGTTTCAGGTTTAGGGTTTAGGGTTCAGGGTTTCAGGTTTAGGGTTTAGGGTTTAGGGTTTAGGGCTAGGGTTTAGGGTTCCCCCCCCCCCCCCAAGTGATGTTTCAGGCTTAGGGTTTCAGGTGCTTGCAGAAGCAGCCATGTTTTCGGGTTCCCCGGCAGTGTTCGCAAGAGGCCTGGATGCGAAGAAGAATTCTTTATGTTTCAAGTTCGCAGCGAAGGCTAGCCGACTACGCCTGGTCGCACCCAGAACTCCAAAAGGTTAGGGCTTAGGGTTTAGGGTTTAGGGTTTAGGGTTTAGGGCTCAGAGCTCCCACAGGCGTCCTGCTCGATGCCCGCAACTTCCGCTGGGTGGCTCGTCTTCTCGCCTTGCCACCCTTGTTGCTCCGGCACTGAAGGCTATAGACTCCTTGCGGCCCCGGGTGATGTAGTTTGGATATTCCGACTCCACTTCAACTCTCCCCCCCTATCCCCTCAAGCCTTTTTGCTCTTGAATCCTCAGACCCCGAGGTCCCCTAGTCCTGAACCCCGAGAGACCCTAAAGCCCTAAACCCTCAACCTCTGCATTCCTCAAAAGCAGGAAAAGCCCCCCAACTTCTAAACCCCAAAACCCTAAACCTCGAAACCCTAAAGCCCTGAACCCCAAACCTCTTAGGTGGGCTCCCGCAAGACTGGCCCAGTCGTCCTGCAGACGCGGGGCCTCCGCCGCGCCTTGCTGGGATGTTTTGGAGGGGTCCTTCCTTGGGCTTTAAGGCTCAAAAAAGGGCGTTTTTGACAGTCCGGGTTCCAAAACATGCTTCGTGGATGTAGTTCTAGGGTGTTTTGTTTCATTCGTCCTTTTGGACTTTTGGAGGGCAACCAGAAAAAGGGTTTTCAGGCTTCCCTTTTGTCGGATGCGGGGTCCTGCCCGACGATAAGCATCTTTGCGTGGCCAGGCCCAAACAACTTTGACATAGTATGAGGGGTGCCTGCCAGTTGACCCTGCCAGTTGCCCCTCAAAGACGGCAGAATCCAGTCAGCAAGCACATAGCTCTAACGAGTTCCGGGGGATGATATTACGAAATCGCAAAATCATGTTGTGTCCTGGCCCTGTTTGTGACATCCAGGATTTCGGATACTCTCTCTCCGCAGCGAGGTGGTCAAGCAAGGGAGCGACCCTTTGCCTCTTCCCCGCCATTGGTTCCGGGTGCAGATGTTGGGTGTGTAGCCTGGATCTTTAGGAGGCAACCGAGGCGATCATGATGCTCGGTGGATCTGTCCTTGTCGACCTTGTCCCAGGTCCTGTTCCTTCAGATTCACTGCCTGTGCCAAGAAAGTGAGGTACCTTGCCACCATACAGATGCTGGCGGACCGCGACATTTCGCGACTGTGCACCGGTGCTGGTGAGCATCCCGCGCCGGAAACGATCTGGGGAAGCTTGTCGATGAAGGGCAGATCCGATTTTTGGTTGCTTTCGCTTAGAGCGACCCCAAATATCCAGCAGTGGGTTAGCAGTAAAGTTTAGATCCACAGCTGTGACGCGAGGACAGATTTACGTTCAAACAGGTGGAGGTTTGGGCTTTGCCTCCTACCATTTCCACCATCCCGACGAGTGCTACATCTCTTACGAGAGTGCTCTCAGCAAGACGTTTCCCGAGCTCGACAATGGCAGCCAGCCTCCTCCGAAGAAGTACTTCGAAGAGGCATCGTACGACCCCAGGACCCGCACCTTTAAGGGGGTCATCGACTGGTCTCCGACTTCCTGGCAGGGTGACCAGCAGCCCAGCTGACAGTTGTTGAAAGAACCGTTTGTGCCATTTCGCCCCCGCGTTTTCTTTGGAGGGTTGTACCGCCGACCCTGCAGGGTTTAGGGTTTAGGGTTTAGGGTTTAGAAAAAAGGGTTTCGGGTTGAGGGTTTGAGCAAGGAAGTGGGTGTACAACATGACCTTCTCCGCGGATCTGGACAGCATCGTGGGAGGCTCTGTGCATGCCATCCCTGCGAACCAGGCCAAGCAGGCCAAAGACCTGCAATTTGGAGTGAGCCTTGGGGGCATTTTTTTTTGCAAACGCTTCTTATGAGTTTAAGTGGTTCTGCTGGTGTGCGCCTGAAGCAGCCTGCTCGGATCGACTCGCACCAACTTGTTCCCACAAGGGAACTGTTTCAGATTCAGCCCTGCAGTAGAAGTCTGACAGCCTTGTCCTCCCAAACGCATAGGAGACATCGTGTGCCTAGCTTGTCCGGGTTGTGACAAACCTATGAAGAGTTTATAGCCGCCCAAAAGCCCACAGGAACCTCCAATACCACCTCCTTCGGCTCGGCATGGACACTGCCGATGCAGTAAAGGAGGCCTTGCTACAGTCAGGATCCCAGCTTTTTGAGGGCTTCTGGCCGGAGGTGGTGGGTGACTTCGGGGTCGGTTTGGCTTCGGGGATCCTTGTCAGCGCCCCAGCCAAAGTCTTCCCTCCCCCTCCAGGCTTTGTTTCCACGCAGGTCCTTCTTGGCCCCTAAGCCCTAAACCCCAAACCCTAAACCCTTAAATCCTAAACCCTAAACCCTAAGTCCTAAATCCTAAATCCTGAACCCTAACCACTGTCCCCAGACATGCCTGAAGTTGCTATGTGTGCAGGTCTGCGGTGGTAGGTGAATCTTCATGTCTGCACGGCGGCCCCACACAGGGCAGCACTTCAACGGAAAACTCAACCCTAAACCCTAAACCCTAAACCCCAAACCCCAAACCCTAAACCCTAAACCCTAAACCCTAAACCTTAAACCCCAAACCCTAAACCCTAAACCCTGAACCCTAAACCCTTCACTGACATCGTGGACGCATTGCGTCCTTGCAGTGCGGTTGCGAGGCTGCTAGGCAGGTTGCAATAAAAATCCTGTGCCCTATCCCTTGGTGCCTCGCCTGGTCTGAGTTTGAGCGATTCAACCCTGCCCTCCCCATCCAGCACATCCCTCCATGGCTTTACTCGTCAGAGCTGTTGATCTGGGAGTTTCGTAACCCCTAAACCCTAAACCCTAAACCCTAAACCCTAAACCCTAAACCCTAAACCCTATGCGGACGCACTGCCGTGGCTCGTACAGATCTCTGGTAGCTTTGCTCCCTTCAAAGTTCTTCTTGCTGCCTTTGCTTTGTGCAGCCATGATGCCCCAACCCGAACCGCGGTCGTGGATGGAGGCGCTTGAGCTCAGCCCCATGGTGAAGTCACTACTGCCAGTGACCGTCGGCGTCTTGGCTACGCTGCTCCTCCCCTTCATCATGAAGACAACACGAGTGTGCCTTGGGACGCTCTATGACCTCTTGGAACTTTGCTGCAAATGGGTCTATGGCCGCGCCTCCCTACCGAAGTGCTGTGGACGCAGTAAAGGAGCCAGGCGAACTCTGGGTGGTCAAGCCGAAGAAGAAAAAGAGTCCGCCGCCGACCCAAGGGCCCAGACCCAAACCCTCCTGGACTACCTTGCCCCGCTGCACGACATGGTCGCGCCCTTGGCTGACACATACTTGAAGCCGATCTTGGAGAAAGTCGAGAACGTCAAAGTCCTCCTCACAAACCTTCTCCAGACCTTCCAGGAAATGGATGTCAAAGCTACGCTGGCAACCATGACGACCCAGCTTGAGACATCCAAGACCAAGGTCCTATCGGAGATCAGGCAAGCTTTCCAGGAGGCGGACCTCAAGACCAAGTTCTCGGCCATCACATCGCAGATAGAAGGCAGCAGAAACAAGCTTGTGGCCGAATTCAAGCAGAGCTTCCAGGATATGTCCAAGCTGGTGGCCAGTCCTCCGGACCTCACCGCCAACTTCGCAGCCCTCAAGGCCCAGATCGAGGAGGTTCGCGTCAAGCTTGTGGCGGCAACCCAGCTTGCTGCGCAAGAAATTAAACAACACGTTCAGGGGGCCCTGGGAACAGCCACCACAAGCCCGGGGTCGACAACAAGCTCTACAACAAGCCCGGAACTGAAGGAATGCCGAGATGACCTTTCCAAGCTGGCTCAGACCCTGCAGACCATCCAGGACCAGACCCTCCAAATCCAGGCGGACATCAAACTCCTGAATAGCCGTGTATCTCAGGGCTTTGACAAAGCGTCCTCGGAAGCAGCCTCATCGCATGGCACCCTCAACTCGCAGCTCAAAGGGAACCACTCCTACATGAAGGGCATGAAAGAATCCCTCGACAGCATCCTCCACAGGACGGACGCCCAGGAGCCGCGAGGATGGCAAGTCAAGCATGTGGATGACATGGGCAAGCTGGGGCTCCTCCTTGCGGAGATCAAAGAGGCCCTCACTGACCTGACAGAAAGAGTGGATGGCCAGGAAACAAGCTTGGTTAACCTGGTGGGCAAGCTTGGTCGCCAGGAGAACCAGGCCCATGCCCATGAGCAGAAACACGAAGCCATCTACGACATCCTCAAGGACATGACAGGCCGGCTGGGTCGTCAGGAGAACCAGACAGCTGCCAATGAGCAGAAATGGGATGCCATCTTCGATGTCCTCAAGGAGATGCTTGACCGCATGGGTGCCCGCCAGATGAGGGGGCAAGGACAATTCGCACCCCTGGCGCCTAACATGCAGGACCCCCGCATGGCAGACATGATGTCTCCGATCCCGGGAGGGCTCCCCAGCGTCAGGCCCATTCAGATAGCTCCGCTTGTGAATCAGCCGTATCCTCAGCCCCCGCCACAGGTTTCGCAAACCCAACAAGGGCCCATGGTCCCGCCGGGACCGATGTCCCCAGCGCAACGAGCTGAGGCCCTCCGGGCGGCCCTTGATTACATAACCCCTGCACCTGGACAGTAATGGCGAAGCCATAGCGACGGCATAGTGCGAAAGCCTGGTAAGGGGCTTCCGTATGCTATGCCACGTCCTGAATCTTGCACGCCAGCAACCTTCCACGTTTTGCATAGGCCTTATCCGACGACTAATTCAGAATGATTACCCACAAACCCCCTCTGAAAGGGGCCAATTCGTAATTCGACCTGCATTCGTAATTCAACCAGCTTCCAATTCGTAATTTCAACCAGCTTCCAATTCGTAATTTCAGCCGACATGCCGGCCTCCGAATTCATAATTACACAGCATCCTAATTTGTAATTAGCCAATGCGACTCTGTGCTGAGAACGTGAAGAGGGGTCCTTCCATCCCAATGCCCTTAATACCTTTGCCTTTGCTGACTTGTTTTGCTGACTTGGACGCTTCCTTGTGTAGAAGTACAAGAAGGCCCCCCCTAAGGGATGATGTCCTACTGCACGTAATTCAACCACAGTCGGAAAGGCCCTGGGGCAGTACCTGACACGACCTTTTGCCCCCCCCCCACCTCCCCCCACTTAGGCCTAGGCCCAATCCTCCTCTACTCCCTGGTATACTCCAACACTCTGTCCCAGATAGCAAACTAATCCTGCCGCTGGATTCGTGCTGAGATGAGTGCAGCTAAAAAGAGCGTGAAAGGCACCCCCACCCCCGGCTCCTACCTACCCCCCCCCCCCCCCCCACAAACCTTCGCACTTGTACGATGAATGCAACTGAGGTACACTGCATGATCTTGCCATGTAACACCCTAACCTGAAGCACCTGCCCCACCACCATAAAATCACCAGCTGTGCTCGACTTTGCGTACCCTCAAGACTGCAACGCCTCAAAGTGACAGCCTTCAACACCTTCCCTTTCCCCCCGCCCCGAAAAAAAAAAAAAACCTTCGCTCAACTATCCAAAGCCCACTACTCTCTCCTTCCTGTGCCCCTGGCCCCGTAACCCCCGGACATGCTCGGATACTTGCGAACCATACCCCCTTGCCTTACCCCCGTGCCTCCTACCCTGTAGTGCCCTAATAAACTACGAACCGGTGCTTACCTTAGCTCCCCCACTACCCTCCCATAAATACCCTAGCCCAAACCACCAATGTCTGCACCCCCAACCTGAATTGATTCTAATCAAGCTGTTGTTGGTATGTATGTATATCCAACCGTTCATACCCCATTGCCCGAGCCACCACTGAGCAGCATCCCCGAATAGGATCAAACCACTCCTAATCCATACATCTCTTCGTTTCCGCAAGGTTCAGGCTTTTGGGGTCTACATTGGACTTTGGACTTTGAGGTTGGCGGGATACTGCTCGGACAATAAGGCCCTAAAACGGTTCCCTATGATGCTCCTAGCGGAAGGTTGTGCTCCAGAAAACAGGCCATATCGACAATTTCATCTCAACACGCGCATTCCTGCACCCCCACGACTCGCCCCTCCCTCGCTCTCGCTTCCTCAATCTGACCCACCTTCCGCCACTGTGTTAGCCACAAAGATATAGGAGCAGGGGGTCGGTGGGCCTAGAAGCAAGAACAAAGGGACCCTAAACAAACTTCAGACTTTGACAAAAAGAGCCTCAAACCAGGTTCAAACTTCGACAGGTGTCATGGTGGAACAACTGGAGGAAAGGGCCTTCCACATGATCAGGGAATCGGGGCCCATATGCAGGGAAAACATTGTGGAACTGTGGGATACCATGCCCCGCCAATGCAAACAGGGGCCGACAGGAGGACGGTCTTTCGTGTCAGGGGCGAGCCCGAGAAGCTCAATGGCGCCCATAAACAATACGTACGATGCGCCGTGCACCACGCAGGCGGTTACAAGCTTTGTACGTAGTCTCTATACGGGGATTCCCTTTTGCAGTGTTACGATTCGTGAGGGGTCTATGAGAGGGCTGCACAAAGATGTACAGAACTCGCATGTCCCTTCCATCGCAATTAGCCTAACTGACCATGAAGGCGGTGAACTGTGGATAGAACACCCAGAGGGGACGGTAGAGAGAGAACATGAAGGTAGACGAGTTCAGGGTAAAGCGTACTCCCTCTTCCCTCACCCTGCGATATTCACATCCAACCTTCTACTTCATGGGGCCATGCCGTGGACGGGACGTAGACGCCTAACTCTCATTGCGTTTACTCCCCGCAATGTAAAGACCCTCTCCGTTGAACTTAGATCTCTCCTCCTCACACAGGGGTTTGCACTCCCGACCCCAGCCCAGCTGAGCAGGTTCAGGCACAACCTGGTCCGACCAGGCACCGTACAACTCTCCATCCCTAACCTGATAGCTAGAACCAGAGCTGTCCAACAGGAGCGCCCCCCCCAGCCCGAGCTGCAGGAAAGACGCCCCCCCCAAGAAATCTCCAGCTCGGAGGATGAGCCTCAAGCTTCAGGTCTCCGCAACACAGGCCGCCTCAAGCCCCCGTCACCGGGGTTCATCACTAGGCTCTTAGCGGATGATCAGAGGGACCTCGAGAATGGAGTGCCTTGGCTTGGAGCACTGAGTGAACAGTCCCAAAGCAGCTGCATGACGGGGGCCGCCATGCATGAGGGTAGGGATGGACCTCGCCGCATGGCCCGGCTGGAAGTGGAACAACCTCAAACAACCCCAACCCCTGTCCCCCCCCTCAAGAGAGCCAAAACGATGCCGGCAACACTGCCGAGCAGAGATCGCTGACACGCCCCTCCCACCTGACCCAGAGGGGATGAGGTTGCTAATTCGCCCTAACTCAAGGTAGGATACAATGACCAATTTGGCCGTGACCCAAATACCCTACAACACGGCATTGCCTCTGCACGCCTGCATGTGATCACAGCCGTGGCTTGACGTAATATCGAATGATGTTACAGGCTCCCACCGCCGCTCTGCCTCGCATTTAGTGAGACGATGTGGCAGACTCATGTTGTCCCCTGCGTGCGACCATGTCATGTTGTGCCCTGCATATGCACCATGTCCAACAGTCATGTGCTGTCCTTAAGGGCTTCCGCCACCGCCATGCCTGCAGACACTACGAAACGCATCGACGAAGAAGGCTGCACCCTGAAGGTTTGCGCCGTTACCCGCCCAAAAAAAAAAAACCTAGCCTATGGCAAATGCCGCCCGGCAGTATGGGAATACCTGAGGATGTCGTGCTGTTCTATACATGCTGCGGTGTCATGAAGTCACTTTCGGTCATGTGCTGCTCTTAAAGGCTCCAGCCACCGCCGAGCCAAATACATGCCAGTCATGTCAGTACCTACATGTTGCGACGTTGTGACATTGCTAGTATGCTGTTCTTAAAGGCTCCAGCCGCCGCCATGCCAAGACATGCCAGTCATGTCAGTACCTGCGTGTTGTGATGTCGTGACATGGCCTGTACGCTGTGATGTACCTTACAGCCATGTACTGTCCTTACGGGCTCCCGCCACCGCCATGCCGGCACAAGCATGGGAAGAGCAACATACATCGACGACGACGGCTGCACCACACTGGATTGCGCCAAAAAAAAAAACCGACCTCGCCCAGACCGACAGGGAAGGATTGACAAATAAACGACAGGGGAGGGTTGACAACAAAAAGAACACATAACCACGCCCTGGACCAGCTCACTTTTCTCTCCGCCTCGACTCTCCCACTCCCCCCTCTACTGACCTCCTTACTGTCTATCTCCCCTAACCCCCGACCTTAACCTGTTACGTGTATTACTCTAATATGATAAGATGTTGACAACTCGCCTGCTGAAGCCATGGCCCGACACGACTGACGCAGAGCGCAGTGGACGATGGTGCTGAGAGACACCCCACCCAGGAGCGTCAAGGACTGTCTTCGCTAACACCTCGAGTATACTGCTCTGCCTGACAACTTACAGTCCTTAAGCTTGGCCCGACACGACTGGCGCAGAATGCAGTGGACGATGATGCTGAGAGACATCCCGCCCTGGAGCGTCAGGGACTGTCTTCGCTGGCACCTCGAGAATACTGCCCTGACGGACAACTTACAGTCCTTAAGCTTTGGACATGACTTCAAGCAGAGCTGGGAGAATAAGGCCTTGCCTGACGACCTGCAACTCACCTGCTGAAGCCATGGCCCGACACGACTGGCACAAAGCGCAGTGGAAGATGATGCGGAGAGGCATCCCACCCTGGAGAGTCACGGGCTGTCTTCGCTGGCACCTCAAGCATACTGCTCTGCCTGACAACTTACAGTCCTTAAGCCTTGGACACGACTTCAAGCAGAGCTGGGAGAATCAGACCTTGCCTGACAACCTGCAGACCTTGGACCTTGGGATGTGAACTACACCCCCAACGAGTCAGTTGGGACATTCGGCCACCCTGAGGTGATCTGGACAGGAAGTGTCGTGAGCTTATTGCAATGACGACCGCGCACATCCCACACAACTGCCAGCACCTCAACAATGACGTGGGACATGCGGCGATACTGTCATTCCAGAATGGCTTGGGCCCTATGCCGCAAAGTCGGGATCCTGACATCCTACTGGCAGAGACCAATGGCACGGCGCTCAAGACGCCGGTACATATCAGCTGCCTCTTACTGCTTCCGACGGTAGAACTGTGAGCCGCAACGGATTGCGGCCAAGTTTGTAAGTCTGAAAGGGTTTGTAAGTCTGAAAGGGGGGGGAGGCCAAAGAATCTACCAGCCCATGCACTGGCCACAGGCGTGCCTAGACGGTAACTCTCATTCACAAGCCGCCCCCCCCTTCCTTCCCGGATCGCACTACAATTCACGACTGCACTTGCATGTCAATTCCTAATTTAGTGCGACTGCACTTGCATGTCAATTCCTAATTTAGTGCTGGGAGTCCGTCTAATTAGTAATTACCCTGCCGATATGCAACTAATTCGACCAACAAAGTCGTGCACTTTAATTCGTAATTGGTGCCACTAGTACGACACAAAATCCGCGCACCCTAATTTGTAATTAGTGCATTCCAGAGCCCTGGGGCCACGGCCTAATCGACAATTTGCACTTCGTAATTCGTAATTCAAAACTCACGGCGCAAGCAGAGCTAGCCCAGGGGGCCACCCCCATTTCAAGCTGGGCACTGAGCCGCGCCTGGCCCGGATTCCCCAACCTCGGATGCATCACATGACATGGGCCACAGGCGTGCACACATCTCATCCATTCCACAACCCAAGAATCCGGGAAGTCAGGCAGGAACATTTCTGAGAGGTCTGGCTCCTTTGAAAGCGCAGCCGGACATTTGAAAATTGAACTAGGCTGCCGAGCGGACCCTCTTGTAAGCATAGCAGTGTAGTGAAGGGACGTGACGTAGTCCTTACTGACATCCGAGCCATGACAGTTCCCTCCCTGGTTTACCCTTACTGGTAAGTCCCCGTTGCTAGTCTGCAATATATCTGGAGGTAACTTGGCGAGGGACGGTAAGGCTTAGTGTGTACAAAGCAGGCGAGCTCTGAAGTGGCGATCCCCGTACTCGGTGTTTCAAGCTATATTTACTGGCTGCACTGGCTGTACTGTGTTCTAACCCTTCTTTGTGACGGAGGATCGCGAACAGGGCTCTTGCTCTTTCCGAAGGGGAGGTGCCCCAAGGAAACATACCAAGACTGGGTTCCGCTGGGGGGGATCATTAGCCGTCGTTGTTTATCTGGTGTTGGTGCATGTTGGTCTGGGAACATTGATCTCTCCCGAATGAACCCACCGCCAATTTCCTACCCTTAATGCCTTCCTGGCAATATCCCTGGGCAGCTGGCATGTGCCTATTGGGTGTCCTTTTTCCGTTCCTCCGACCCATTTACCCCGCTTTGCCGTGGCTAGTCGGGTGGCAAAAAAAACCCTAAACCCTAAACCCTAAACCCTAAACCCGAAACCCTAAACCCTAAACCCTAAACATGCAGCAGAAACCCTAAACCCCTAATTTCGGAAGCCAATCTCTCCTCAGGTCCGGGGTTTCTGCTTCGGACGTCGAGGCGGCGCTTGGGGCCGCGGAGGCCTCGGTCCTTGCCTTTGGAGTGTAGGGGCTTTGGGCTTGTAGGTCTTAGAGGCCGTTACTTGCAAGATGAAACCCGGCGTCCTTTGCAGATTTGAGTCGGGTTTAGAAGAGGACCGCAGATTTGGAAGTCCATGTTGAACACTTCCAGCATGGAGGTAGAGGCCCAGTTTATGGGCCCTACACTTGATTCAAGTTCGGGTTTAGGGTTGAACCGAGAGTCCTGGCAGAAAGAAGGGTCGAAGGGATCGGAGGCTTGAAATTGGACCCGTGTCCTCTCTCGATCTAAGGCGGGGCCTGCCACAGAGCAGCTGCCGACCACGTCCCTCGGTATGTGAGGGGCTGGGGTTGCATAAATGGCAGCGTCTGCAGCGCGGAAGCTTGACTACCTTCTTGAGCCCTCTCCCTCTGTCCGGGATGTGGGGGTTTCCGATACTAGGGGTACCTTATTGGGGCCCTTATTAAAGGGTGGATCCTACTATTTGGGGTCTTTTTAGGGGGTCCCCTCTTTTCTGTAAACCCCCCATGTAGCAACCCGGCACATCCAGAGCCCCTGAGTGTGGCCCTGCCCTTCGTCTTCGAGTCACGATGAGGTCGGTTTACCGGCAGCCCTCGCCGGCGCAGATGTGTGGCTAGACTTCTGGAGTTGGTTTCCAGGTGTTGCCTGGAAATCTAGAACGGGTGGTGGACTCTGTGACAAGAGGGTTGTTGAGAATGACAAGCCTTAGCCTCTGCAGTGGCACGTCCGGTCCTTGCTAGACCCATGGTTCAAAGCTTAAGACTTCAAAAGCCCGATCACCTCTTAACCCCATCGCCCAGGCGACAGGGTATGATGGGGTTCCGTTTCCTACACACTGTCTGCGAAGGTCTCCCGGCATTCCCACCTGCAGAATCGGAAGCGGTGGCTCAGAGAAAGCTCTGAGCCGAAAACGCTCCAAGCAAAAGAGCCCAGATCTCTCCGAAAAACCCCTGAATTTCGGAATCGGCCCTAATTCATAATTTATGACCCTTCGTATAAACTAGGGTATAATCCCTAATTCATAATTCTGATCCTTAGCATAAATAGGGTATAATCCCTAATTCATAATTATGATCCTTAGTATAATTAGGGAATAATCCCTAATTAACAATTATGATCCTTAGCATAAACAGGGTATAATCCCTAATTCATAGTTATGATCCTTAGTATAATTAGGGTATAACTCCTAATTTCTAATTATGATCCTTAGTATAATTAGGGAATAATCCCTAATTCAGGAGTTTTGGAAGATCTGGGAGCCCTGCACTGAGGCCTGCGCCGCTCCGTGCGCTGGGCCAAGGCTGTCGCGCTGAGCCCGAAGCGGCCGAGCAGCCTGTCCACCGTACTAGGGTTTAGGGTTTAGGGTTTAGGGTTTAGGGGAGAGTCTGGGTTCAAAAAGGGTCGGAATGGTTACCAAGAATATTCCCTTAGGGTCCCTTTCCTATATTCTAATAACCACCCAAAACCCTATTTTAATCATAAAGGCCCCTATATTACTTGGGAATTGGATGGGCATTTTGTGGTGAGGAAAAGAAGGTTGCAGAGGTCTACTGCAAGTCTCTGTCGTAGCCTCTTAGCAGCGTGCAAGCTCCGCCAAGAGACTTCGGATGAAGTCCGATCTCAAGAGGTGGGCGAAGGCCCTTCACGAGGACTCTGGGTCATCGAAGCAGGCTGTGTGATGGTTGGTGAGGCAGGTTTCCTAAGCTGCCGGCCGAGTCCCAAGAAGCCCCCCCCTCCTCCCTGTCAGTGCTTGTCGGGTCAAGTTGTTGACACGAAGGCCGGGGCACAGACAGACAGACGCATGTCCCACATCAGCTCAGGCTGGTCTCGCCTGGAGGCCATCGGAACGCTGCAAAGGCTCCCAGAAGCGTGCTGTGCAGGGCCAAGCCTTTCATCATAGTTCCTTACCCAAACCAGAGAAGACCCGTGGTGCCTACACTCTATGCCAGCTAGGCATACTTTGTTGGCCGCTTTTCTCCTAGTGGGCGGGTGGCAAAGAAAAACCGAGGAACAATCCCAGATGTACCGTGCCCAGCTCTGCAAAAACACCCTGAACCCTAACCCCTCATGTGACGCCCCTCGGACCCTTCACTGTCCTCTGATTCTTCCTAGGCCCGGTGTTGCATCTTAGGTCCCTGACATGTTACCCTACAAGTGCAGCTTGTCTTCTGCCAGCAGGCAGGTGAATCCCAAAGTCGAAATCCTAAACCCTGACGGCCTGACTTCTGACGGTCCCTTCAGTGCGTCTTGCAGCTCAGCTGGCAAAAGCCCAGTTTTTTTTTGGGCCAGGCTCGCCACTCCGCCGCGCAGCGTGCCACAAGCGGAGTCTTGGCCGGATGCTTTTGGGGTCTTGAGAGCAAAGGCCTTTAGGGTTTAGGGTTTAGGGTTTAGGGTTTAGGGTTTGTTGAGTATGAAACCCTGAAGCGGTTCTTGGGGCCCAAGGTGCAGCCTGGAGGGACAATATATGTCTGGTAAGAGCTTCTTTGCATCGCAGAGCCGACAGCAGCAAGACAAATGGCCGGCAGCCGCTGTTTCCCGGAATGAAGGAATGTACCCTAACTGTTACTAAGGATCATGACTTTATGAGTTAGGGTAGAATTCCTTCTTGGGTTGGGAAGATCTGGGTTCAGCAGCTTCAGTTCCAGGAGGACGCGTTGTATTCCTTGCTCCTGGCCACCACCGAGCAGAAGGAAGGCGGAAAATCCAGGGGTTTAGGGTTTAGGGTTTAGGGTGCCGGGGCCAGCACCACAGAGAGTCCGGGTTCAAAGGGTTTAGGGCTTAGGGTTTAGGGTTTAGGGTTTAGGGTTTAGGGTTTAGGGTTGAGGGGGGGAATTTGCTCTTCAGGCCCTAAAAGACTCTCCGAGGCGCCCCGCTGCCAGATGTGTTTTTTTTTGGGGGGGGGTTTTGGAAGTTGAGGGTGTAGGGTTTCGGGCTACTTGGAGGTTCATGGGCACTTGTAAGTAGGGCCATAAGTAGGGTGGCTATGGTTAGGCTCCTTGCTTCGGGTAGTCTTAGGGCACTTGTAGAACCCTACATTCGAAGTACTCTATGAACCTCCAAGTAGACGGAAAAAACGTGCAGAAAGCGGCGGAGGGCTGTGTGTTTTTTTGGCAAGGGAGAGCTGAGCGCCATCCTAAGACCCTAAATCCTCTGAACCCTAAACCCTACCTAAACCCTAAACCCTAAACCCTAAACCCTAAACCCTAAGCCCTAAACCCTAAACCCCTAAACCCCTAAACCCCTAAACCCCAAACCCTAAACCCGAAACCCCAAACCCTAAACCCTAAACCCTAAATCCTCAGCTGCAGGGGAGCTGCAGGGCAGTGCAGAGGAGGCGCTCCGGGCCTGCTGGGAGGACAGTGGCGATGCCAAGGCTGGGTTTAGGGTTTAGGGTTTAGGGTTTAGGGTTTAGGGTTTAGGGCTTAGGGCTTAGGGCTTAGGGCTTAGGGCTTAGGGTTCAGCATTTCAAGTCCAAGCATTCACTAGTCGAGAAATTACTCCAGGAAAACACCGACCAGCCCAAAGAATCCCACAACATGAAGAAAATATTTTTCATTTATGGAACGACCTTGCCCAGGAAAAAATGAGCTTGCCCAGTAAACAAATGACCTTGCAGTAAACAAATAACCTTGCCCTGTAAAAAATGACCCCTTGCCCAGTAAAAAATTGACCTTGCCCAGAAAAAAAAAGGACCTTGCCCAGTTTAAAAAATGACCTTGCGCAGTAAAAAAAATCACCTTGCCAAAATGACCTTGCCCAGTAAAAAATGACCTTGCCCAGTACCAAAATGACCTTGCCCAGTCAAAAAATGACCTTGCCCAGTAAAAAAATGACATTTCCCAGAAAAGAAGGACCTTGCCCAGTTTAAGAAAATGACCTTGCCCAGTAAAAGAGTTACTGGGCAAGGTCATATTTTTTTACTGGGCAGGGTCATTTGTTTTACTTGGCAAGGTCATTTTTTACTGGGCAAGGTCATTTTTTTACTGGGCAAGGTCGTTCGGTCCAAAAAACGACCTTGCCCGTAAAAAATGACCTTGCCCAGTAAAAACAAGACCTTGCCCAGTAACTCCATTAACATTTCAATTTTATATGAAAGCGAGGTTTAGGGTTGAGGGTTTAGGGTTTAGGTGTTACCGACAGCCTCCACAGCCCGTGCTCAAAAGGGTTTAGGGTTTAGGGTCTCGGGTTTAGGGTGACGCACTTTAGTCGTGCAGAGTCGTGCATGTCGTGCGCTCGTGCTTCCGTTTTGATTTGCCCAACCCTAAACCCTAAACCCTAAAGGTCGCCCCGGGATTCTTGCCGGGCTTCTATATATATGGTGCGGGTAGCGGATCCTACTTTATCCCCCTTGGGGAATTATGTTTTAAAATTTTGTTTATATAAAACCCAAGAGGATATTAAACTATGGTTTTTGTTAAGGATCTAAGGGGAGTATAGCCTAATTGTGGTTAAGGGGGTTTGAGGGCTGCATGAATTTCGCTGTCGTGCCTTCGAAGTACGGCTTACCTGGGCAAAAGGGCAGCCATGAACAGATCTACTCACGTGTTCCACAGAATAAGTGTGCGATGGGTCTGCCTCCGCCGTGACATGACAAGGTCAACACAGAGATGGCTCGTGGAATTGAGCTGCTGGACGACCAGAAGGCCTGAGGAAGGGCACAAGAGGAAGGATGGTTTATGATGGCATGGCGGTGATTTGAGTTTAGTTCCACGGCATCTCAAAGCAGACGATGCGATTGTGTGAAGCGTGTCTGCTTGCCTGCAAGGCAGATGAGGCGGTCGAAGCCTTCACGCGCGCGTCTTGTCTGCGGATTGAAACATCAAGTGGGGAGGAATGGGTTCAAAGACCAGAAGCGCGTCGTGCCTCGCCATGCCATATGATTTTTTTAAGTCTTGTTTCTGACCGACTTCAATCGATGTGCGAGAGACTGAGGTGACAGAGATGGCACCCAACTTTGCTGAGGGCTGGCACAAGCGCTCGATCGGGCACTATGCAAAGCAGGACCATCCATCCGTCTTGGGGTTCCCGTGGCCACTGATAGGAGCGAGGAGCACAAAGCTCTCCCAACCAACGACAGCTTCCACTCCCAAGAACAAAAGAACATCAATAACTCGTTGGAAAAGGTCTCAGTTGCGCCCCCCCGAAGCCCGAAAGGCTACGTTTTGAAAGTGGCCCGAGCTGTCTTCAAATCAGTTTTGGCCTCGCAAAGTTTTAGCCCTGCCGTGCTGGGATGGTGGCTGCCCCCGTGTTAGGGCCGCCGGCTTTGCCATCAACTGAGGGTTCCTCTGAATCCGGCACGCCGGGTACACCGCGCCGCAGGACCGCTGTGGTGCAGGAGTCGGTTGCGGAGCTCCTGAAAGACCTCCAGCTCTTGCAGGCTAAGCTGGTTGCAGCCTACAACCTCGAGCGGGCGACTGCAGTCACAGTCCCCAGTCGTGACCCGGCCAGGTCTGACACTGGGCAGAGGTCCATCACGTCAGTGTCGGAAGGTCATCCGAAAAAGGCATCAAAGACTTCCCCAGGGCAGAGGTGAACGGCGGATGCAGCAGACGACACTACAACAGCGGTCGCCACTCCGAAAGGTCTGAATGGCCAAGACAGCGTGTCAAGCGTAGTGTTCTCAAGATCTCAAGCTAGCCGCAGCCAGGAAAACTCGACATTTCCGCAGATCGATCCAAACGAGGACCAAGCTACTTCTCCAGTTCAGCCAAAGCTGGTGTCGTTGGCAGAACGCATGCCCTCGAAACTGAAACAGACGCCTTCTGGCAGCGTGACCTGCTCCGAGAGGGCAAGGGTGACCACTGCAGCCTCCATGACAGACCCAAAGCAGCGGTGCATCCTACAACCCACGTCCTGGTACCGACTGTGCTGGGATACATTGGCCTTGCTAACCTTGATGCAGGACATGGTTTTGACCCCGCTGCAGGCCTTCGATGAGCAGCCACAGGCACAGATTCTGCGGCGAGCCTTTACAGATGCCTTCTGGCTGGTTGACATTGGGATGAGCTTCTGTACGGCAGTTCACGTGGATGGTGTTCTCACCCAAGACCGGTTTGGCATTGCGCGGGCCTACGCCAAGTCTTGGCTGCCCTTCGACTTGATGGTCCTGGCTGCGGAGGTTCCAGTGATGTTGGCATCACAAAGCGACATCGACGCTGCGTGCGGCTTCTCCGCCTCATCAAGCTAAAGAAGATCCTGGACACCGTCCCTGTGGCCATGGCTATGAGCAGATCCTGGCAGCATGCCATCGACGTGGGGAAATACCTGGCTGTGGCGACGTACATGGGGCACCTCTTGGTGTGCCTCTGGTACTTTGTTGGGAGCGCGCCAGATGGCTGGGTGGCTGATGACGGACTGGGCAGCTCTGATCTTGCCACGAAGTACAGTACATCAATGCAGGTGGCATTGTCCAGGCTTCCTGCATCCGCCATGCGCTGGAACATGGAGTTGCAGACAGATGCCGAGCACGGACTGGCTATTTGCGCAACATTCATGGCGTTGGGATTGTCATCTGCTTTTGTCAGCAAGATGACGAACGTCATGGCTGCCTGGCAGAAGAGCCGACAGCGGAGGAAGCAGGTGCTCCAATCCGCGAGGGAGTACTGCGGCCGCGCACCGGGTCGACTTCTCCTACGCGCTGAGCATGCGGAAATACGTTGAGCGTGAGCACATCCGGAAGACAGCGCATGAGGCCCATGTGGCCCTGCTGGACACCTGTACTCGGATAGGGTTATAAGTACCCTAAGCAGGGTTACAAGTATAGTCACCATACTTCCCGACCTTACTTGAAACTACCCCAACATCCTGGTGCTGGTATGCGGTACGCCGCTTGTGCTGGTGTTGGGCTGTTTGTCCTCACTAACTGAGGGCGAGTCCTTCCCAATGCCGAGCCACTTGTACAACAGTCTCTCTCTCGTGTCGGGTACGGTGGCAATATGCTGGTAACTTGGAGAACCCTAAAGAGCCCTAAAAAGCCCTAAATAGTCCTAAATAACCCTAAGTAACCCTAAGAGTGGTTGGGCGCACATGGGCGCACAGCGAGAGACACAAGCCTGGGTTTACCCGGCGGCAAGAAGAAGAGGCAACTGCCTGGGCAAAGAAACCCTAAACCCTAAACCCTAAACCCTAAACCCTAAACCCTAAACCCTAAACCCTAAACCCTAAACCCTAAACCCTAAACCCTAAACCCTAAACCCTAAACCCTAGACCCTAGACCCTAAACCCTAAACCAAGTGCCTTGAGCCGAGCCCTTCGGGGGTGCCGCCCTGCCCGTGAGCCTCACCTGGAGGAACTTCCCAGAGACTCCAAAAACCCCCTTAATTAAGGAATAGAACCTTACATTGTCATAGGAACCCTAATATGATTTGAAGTAACTTCCTTACTTGAGGGGTTTTTGGAGTCTCTGGGTTCTACGTAGGGTTCAGGGAGCGTGACGGAGCGACCTGGATCCGGCTTGCGTGCAGAGCCCAGATGCAAAAAAAAGGATTCGGTGGCCGTTTTCCGGCATGGCTCTAAGGGTGGCGCTGCTCTAAGCTTGTTGCAAACGAGGATTTAGGGATGTTAGGCCATATTGCGGTAACGAGGCAGTGCGTTGCGCTTTCGCAGGAGTAGTGCGAGCTCGCAGGAGTAGTTCGAGCCTGCGAATCAGTGCAGGTTACGATGGGCTCCACGAACCGTCCAAACCAGCAAGTACTTCCAAAAATAGGCCTTTACATCACCCCAAAAAGATCCTACAATCCTTGTTGTGGGAACTGCCCCCCTGGTTTCGGACACCTCCACATAGGAGTTCGAGAAGGCGATCGAAGACTGCCAGAAGGCTGCGGATGTGGTGCAACTCACGAGATTTGCAGCATGTCTGGGTCAGTGCTGGAGGTTCTGAAGTGGTAGTGTGCTTTGCCTGATGTTGAGACAGTCAAAGTCCTGGACCGTCGCTTTGCTTATGCAAGACAGGTCCCACCCGCGAGCAGCCTTAACCATATTCTTGCCACGCTACAAGGGCCTAGCAATCCTTCTGCAATGGCACAAGGCAAGCTTCTCCTGTGATCATGCCCTGTTATTGCAAGCTAAGAGTGGGTGTTTGGGTGCTGAGCCACCCCAGCTGAGGTAACCCTAAACCCCAAACCCTCAACCCTCAACCCTCAACCCTAAACCCTAGACCCTAAACCCTCAACCGCCGCGCCGGAGTTGTTCAGCTACAGCAAAAAAGGCACAGTCGTGCAATTGCTTACGTGTCATTCTGTCAACTTAAGCAAAGCGCCATCAACCCAACTGACACGGGGTTTATATTACTGTTATTGGTGAGTGTATATAAGGTTCCTTGTTAATATTGGTGAGTGTACATATTGGGTGTCCTTTTGGGGGTACAAGAAATACAAATCCTACTTCAACTGCTTCAGGATTCAGTGCTTTCCTTTTTCGCCTCTCCAGTAAACTTGGACTGTGCACGATGGGAGGCCGTTTGTCTCACGCCACTGGACGAGAATCTGAGTCGACCGTTTCACTTCTCAATGACCTTGGTAGCGCCGCGGAGCTGGACTTTGGAAGATGGCAAAGACTGGACTCCTGGGAATCCCGCCAAATGGCGAGGAAGGGCTTTGCCATCCGACTCAGAAGTGATCCAACTGTGGTGTGGAGGATCGGCATGGATGAATTAGTTGCGCGAGGCGAGAGTCTCTGCACCTCTACAGATTTAGGTCTGTTCAGTCAAGACATGAAGGCGAAGGTATGCAAAGAATGGTCTGAGATGTACCTCGAAGATGTGCCTGGTGGTGAACTTCAACTGGTCAACGACCTTGATGCAGCCCTGGAGTTGAACAAAGGCAATGGATGGCGCATCTTGTATCCCAATCACAAGCGCCGGCTGGCAAAAGAAAGCTTCAGCATCCGCTTGCGCGAGGACCCGGCTGTCATGTCGACCATCGTGCAATTTCCCGAATTTGGCACGGAGCACTGCTTGCGAACGTCAAAAGACCTGGAAGAGTTTAGCTCGAAAGCTAGCAGCTGGACAGCAAACGAGCAGAAAGCCATCCAGAAAGAGACCGGAGAGCGGCAACACAGGAAGAAAATGTCCGAAGCAAAAGTGGAACGGAGCGCTCGAAAGCTTGCAGTCATCTGGTTCCTCGCCATAGCGTGTGCGGCGGTGGTTCTCATCCCAGGGCTATCCCTCATTGGCATGTGGTCCCACACTTGCGCGGGACTTGGTGCGGCACTTCTTTGTTTTCTGCCCTACTGGACCAGTCCAAGGAGCCGAAGGAGCGTTTGTGTTTTCGAAGCGGTTTCATGGATCTCGGCGCGGTGTGGTATCGCGGCCGGTGCTGCGATGGTCGTGGCCTCTAATAGTCATAGTGACTTTGCTGCAAACTCTTCAGAAAACACATCTGAAGAGTTTGCGCTGCTTGCCCACAGCTTCCGTCACCACCCCATGACGTATCTGTTTTTCGTCTTTGCCGGCATGTTCGCTGGCACCTGCGCCCGCTCGATTTTTTGCCGGATGGCAAGGTCCATGATGACCTGCGCACGCATTCCCGCCGGTGGCTTCTGGAGGAAACCATCGTCTTTCAAGGCAGGGTGGCAGAAGAGCGTGGGAGGCCCTGCATCACTTCTTGGCCAGGCAAATATGCCACCGCTTGGGATTGCCTGGTCGAGAGTGCGCGGGAGGGGGAGACGAGTGCCGCAGTGGTTTTCCTTCCGGAGGGTACGAAGGAGTTTGGGAAGCACAGCAACGTCCCGCACTCCGAAGGTTTGGTGGGTCGTTGCTGGTGTACCCCTTTGTATGGAGAGCAGAAGCCTTGGGGTTGTAGGTGGTGGGCATTATGGATTGAGAACGTTGCGAAAGCGGTACAGTTTGGCGCTGAGCTCCATGTGTATTTCTTCCAGCAAGCATGCGGCCAGGGCAAAGTCGAAAGCTTTGACTTCTCTGGTCAAGAGAATCTGAGAAGGGAGGCCATCTTCGCGAGAATGAGCAAGTTTGAGGAGTCCGAGGCATATCGATCTGCCAACAATGCCGGCATCGAGAATCTTCGCAAGAACAAGCGTTGCGATTCCTCTTCCCAAGATAGCAGGGAGAAGCACCGACTCTTCTTGCAGTGGCTTCCGATTGAGGACGCACATTTTCTGACAGAATCTGAAGGTCTGGGAAACTCGCAGAAAGGCAGAAGTCGCAGGGCTAGAGAGGAAAGGATACAGCTACACCGAGGTTGATATCTGCAAGTGGCTGCAGCCAAATTTAGCCCAACGCGGAGGTCGCGGCTGAACCGCTGGTGGAACATCAAGTCTGCCGAGTTTTGGAAGCGGAATCGCAAGATAGTCGAGCTGGCAAGCCACAATCGTGTGGTAGACAAGTGATGCAGCTTTGAGTTGTGAGGATGTTCTGCAGGGTCTTCGTTTCACCAGCACTTACTGCCTCAGAATGCTGCAAAAAATCGCCGCGCTCTATCAGCCCGATAGACTGACTGTTCTGCAAGCTCTGCCCCTCGGAGCCGCGAGCCCCTTGTCAGGCGCTGGAGCTCAAACCACGGCACTACTGGTGCGCCTGGGGGGGGAGGGGGCGGGGGGGGCTTGTGGTTGGGGGGTAATTACTTGGGTTTTCTTGGGGGGGATTTTGGGGGGTACATCTTGGGTTTTTTTTTGGGGGTGTCTCGGGGGTTTGGGGTACTGCGGGGTTGGGTTTCGAAGATTCTTTGAACGGCCTTGCCGCCTTATGATAAGCACCCCGAAAGGGACCATGTTTTTGAGCAGCTACCATATGGCCTATGAGATCTTGACCCCTAGCATTGACGCCTCCGTGGGCTATCAGTAGTTCTCTAAGTCAGGGTCCCTTTTTTGGGTCCCCGATTCTAATACGGCACCCTTATAGTAAGGACCCCTAAAAAGGGACCCTACTTTAGGAGAGCTGCCCAATCTTGTTGCTGCTGACAGCAAGGTTGGGTCAGGTAGCGGTCCCGGCAAAGAAAAGCCGAAGCCGTGAGGTGCTGGACTGGCATGGGCAGCTGTCAGGTGCTCAGCGTGCCGCGAGTCCGTGGGTTCCGGGATGTTGGGATCTTTGAGCGCTTGGAAGTCATATAGCTTAGGCAATGTTAAGGGGTAGGGTTGAGGGTTGGCAAGCGTGGTGCAAACAGGGTTGCCTAGAACTTGAAGACTAGAAGGTTCAGAGTTGCACTTGTTTTTCATTTTCCAGGGTGTTGGTGCCGTTTCCTGCAGCCCTTAAGCCTGTGCTTGCAAGGCTACTACGAGCTGGATGAGAAGCAGAAAGCCCGAGAATGTTGGGAGGCCTTCCTGTAGCCCAAGTCCCAAAACCTAAAGGTCCTAAACTGCTTGTCATAGGCTCCTCTTGTTTGTCCTACACAGACCAACGGACGGACCTTGCCTGCCTTGTGCGAGAGTGAGCGACTAAGGTCCTAATTTTAACGCTACGCGACCCGCCTCGGCCCGGCTTCGAGCTTTAGATGGCTTTCGAACTCCCAACCCCAAACGCCCATAACCCATTCGGCTAAAGCATTTGGCTTGCGCATAGCGGCATAGCGAGGAGTCAGGGGCAAGGCGTACTCCCGTTGTCCTGGAGCTTCAGTTGCCATGGCACTGTCTCGCAGCCTCGAGCTTAAGCTGGGTGAGTTGGGCAACCAACCACCTCGCCCGCGTGGAGCCGTCGGAAAGTCACAGGCAAATGGGAAGAAGCCCTACGATGTGATCAAGCTGAAAGACGTGGAGTCGAGGCCCAGCAGAACCACCGCTGAAGCTGTCGCAGACGAGGATCTCACTCCAACGCGCGCCAGTACGGCTACATCAATTTCTGATTCACCTCGCACTGCCTGGCACAACCTTATGCCCGTGAAGGTGCCAGTCTCGTCATGCTGGAAGGAGATCGCCGCCCAATGTTCGTCCCCGATGCGAGTGGCAACACCCACGAGCTCTCAAGTCATGGATGCAATGGATGCAACCGATCCCACAAGCAGTGCAGCTCCAGTCTGCAAGCTCTGGCAACTTTGCTGGCTTCCGAGCAGGCTGGATTCACTTCCTCGAGCACCTTCTACACGACCTCTCCGTTTGCCTGGCGTGCCCTGGACTCGAGAGGCCATCTCCGTCTCCCCAAAGGTTTGCCGGGTTTGCCCCACCTGGCCTTGAGAGGCCAGTGTCAGTGTCGCCCCAGGGAGCCCCCTGAGCCCCCTGAGCCCCCTGAGCTCCCATGCACAGGGAAATCCATGCGGAAAGTTGGGGGACGGTTTCTGCGCCGCTATGCAACGCCTACATCCGAGTCAGCCAAGGAGACAGTGAAGGTGGCAACAACAAGCCGGTGGAAATGGTGGTGTGCTGTGGCAACCAGGAGGACATGGACAAAGGAACCAACCAGCTGACTACATTGCTGGAAGATCTCCGCATGCACTTCTCTCGCTATTGCTGCAGGCGAGGTATCAGCCCAATCCCTGAGCTGTACCGCTTGCTCCCCTGAACCTGTAGATGGTCTTAGAAGCAGGCTGCGTTGATGGCGCTGTGTCTGCTCTTGAACGCTCGCAGTGTTTCGGCATTATAACTTTCGCATTCCCTGTGGCGCACTCGCCGGAGTTGAGGACCACAGCATTAAAGGTTTTCTCAGGCAAGCAAGAATATTGCGAACCTGCGCTCGACTGACTTCTGATCCGTTCTGCTCTTATACATATATAGATTATAGATACTTTTGCTTATACTTATATAGATAGAGTTGTTTTCTCCATGTGCTGGACCGCAGCGGAGTGCTTGGCCTTACAGCTTGGGGAGCTCTGGGGAAGGAAGGGCCTGACATTTACCAGTGCATTGTGCTCGACCTGACCTTCTTCTCCTCCTATACCACGCGACATCGGGAATCCTTAGCCTATATAGTCTCTTGGAGGGACCGCTTCATCACATCCTTCCCCAGAGATATACTCCAGAGCAGCTGTGGCCTGAATGCAGTTTTTCAGTATGCCATTTCCGGACGGAGTGGCGCTCACCGCTCGATGTTACTGCTTGGAGGATGTGCCATCCGTTCGCATTAGATTCATTACACAGGTTCAGTCGGTTGTGATCCTGCTCGAGCTGTGGACTGTCTGAGTCTGGGTGTTAGGGTGTTTAGGATACCTTGCAATTAAGGTGGGGCATGTGATCAAGGGTTGGCACAGCCGGATCGCAGGAGCTCCTGACCGCGTGATACATCATGGGATCTGCAGCCTGTAGCGCTTAAGTTTGGACGAGGGGCTTTCCAAAATTCGGTTGATGCCTCCGAAAGTAGTCGAATCTCCGTAGGTCCCCCAAGAAAGGGACGCCTAATTTCCGGAATCCGCACCTGGAGCTTGACAGTGGGCTTGATTGCTCCAATGGTGCCAGAGAGAGGCTGAGTAGGCCCGAGCTTTGCACCGAGAAAGGCGTGTCGGATCTTCGAGGCTATGTCTCTGAGGTGGTGGTTTGTTCTGACTAACTTTCATTTGCAGAGACATACCTTTTTCGGGTTGTGCAGGGAGGCATTGGGATGATACAATGGCATCGGCCGGCTGAATTGGCGTTAGGCCGAGCCTGTGACAGACCTTAGCAGCTTCCGTGTACAAGTAGCAAATGAAATCAACGGGGCCAATTTAGTGCCCAAATCAGTCAGCAATGGCTGATGCACAGAAGGGAAAGGCGTGCCGTTGTGTCGAAAGCCTGGTCAACCTAGGTGCATGATAGAGTTTCTGAAGCTGTCCTCCATTGTCCTGCATATAGCTGCACTTTCTTCACAGGGACACACATGCAGCATACCTTTTCCAAGCGTCTTTTTGGGCAGGCAATTTGATGCTGCAAGATAAGCTGGTGACTTGCGGCAGACCTTATTGCCAATTCCAGGCTGCACCGTGAGTTGGACGAGAGGAACCAGTCCGCAAAGAACGTATGCGGTTCTTGCCTTAGAGGGTTTAGGCTTTAGGGTAGTAGAATTCTGTGGTCTCACTTAGCTTAATAGCTGAACACTGTCCACTGGACTTAAGCAAACTTCCAGACAAGCCCTCAGGCACCAAGTATACAGCCAGGACTTGCTTTGAGTTTAGGAGGGTTTAGGGTTCAGGGTGTTTAGGTCCGCGTGAGCATGGTTATTCCGCAGCGCCCAAGTCGCTGGACCCCAAGCAATGGGTTGGGTTTAGGCTTTAGGGTTCTGGGTTTATGGTTTATGGTTTGGGTTTAGGGTTGAGGGTTAGTTTAGGGTTGAGGGCTTAGGGCTCCAGGTTCACGGTTTGGGGTTTAGGTGTTTTTTGGGTTTAGGGTTCAAGGTTCAAGGTTCAAGGTTGAGGGTTGAGACGGTTCGGCTTGGATTGATCGTAAAGTGGAGCCAGGCCCCTCAAGCAGGGGGGGGGGGTGGCAGCATAGGTGGGGGTGGAGGGGGGCGTGAGGGGGGAGGGCGGGGTGGGAAGGGGGGGGGGGCTGCCAGGCGGGGCAACTGGCCCTGGTCCTGCACTTTCAGATTGTGGTCGCCCACGCGGGGTACCCTTTCCAGATAAAAAAAGGGGTCCGACCAACCAATACACCTTCGGCCCGAGGCCTCGGCGGATTCTCGGTTTAGGGTTTGAAGATGTGTGAAGTGCTCGGTCAGAAGGGCTTGGGATAAATGTGGTGGCTCATAAGTTCAGCGCCAGACATGCGTCAGCCACACCATTCTTTGCGTGACCGCGAAATGTCACCCAAGTTGTTCCTGCACGTGAGCGTAAAAACACATCCAAGCCTGACTTGCGAGGCAGCGCTGGAGATTTTTCCGGCAATGCCGGGGGCGTGCGCGCCTTGGGGGGTGGGGAGGGGGTCTTTATCAGGTAGCGGAATAGCCTGAGAAGGTAGCGAAGGCACACCGAAAGTGCACACGAATATGTGCAGCTATGCAGGGTCTTGAAGGGTTATCTATGTCCCCCTTGGGAGTTTTTTGCTTATTTAAAACCCAAGAGGATATTAAACATTAATATTGTATTAAGGTTAGAAGGGGAGTATAGCTATAATAACTAAGACGTTGTTGCGCCTTGCAGAGTTCCAGGTCCCGCCTTTCTCCCGCGCTTCGCCGTGTTTGTGAGACTGTTGGCGAAAGCCGAAGTATCCCCAACAGCCAGATCAGGAGTTGTGTTTTCCTAAACCCTAAACCGTAAACCCTAAACCCTAAACCCTAAAGCCTAAACCCTAAACCCTAAACCCTAAACCCCGGTTGCAAAAAGGACCCTCCTGCCTTCTCTATCGCTCCACCAGGGCCTCCCAAAGCTGGGCCTCTCCCCGCAAGCCTCGCTTGGGGCTTCTCCAAAGCCAAGGGGGAACACCGGGATGGGGCCCGACCCACTTGCAAATAGAAACCGCTGCTTTTCCGAGCCTTCTCCTTCTCCGAGAAGATGTTTCCGAAGGCCCGATTCCGGCACGAAGAGGGTTGGCAAACCTTTTGGAATGGAACGAACGTCCTGCTGAGTGGTTCGTCCGGCCACGCCGCGGGTGCCAAAAAGAATGGAACGAAGCAGCGAGTCAATGAATTGACCGGTCTTTGTCATCAACATGTGTTTGTCTTCAGCTGATGAGCTCACCAGGCTCTCGGTCGCCCTTTGCCCCAGACCCATTCCTCCGGCAGAAGCGCTTGAACCCTCAACATGTCTCCTAACTTATACTATAAGGATCCTGATTACGAATAAGGGAATATTCCAACCCTGAGTATGTCTCATGTGAGGCAAGCGAAGATTGACGAAGCGGCCTCCCGACTTCACCTACATCCGTGGATGGTGTTTTGGGGGATGGGTTGAAGCCATCTCCACCAGAAAGGTTCAGGGGCTGTGTAGGCGGGCTAGAGGGATCAGGTCCGTTTTGTGCCTCTTTGAAGCCCCCATCTGCATCTGTCGCCCTGAGGAGCTGAAAGACATCATGGACGAGTGCCTCAGCTCAGATGAGACGATTTACATGCTTTTGTATGCTTTGCAGACGATCCCCCCATGCCCCACTCCTTCCGCTCCTTCCCAAGTGCGTTGAGCAAGAGAGCCCAGGCATCTGAGGCCGGCTGGCTGAGTTTGGGACTTGTTTGATGGTGGGCTTTCGCTGCTGTCAATGTGTGGTAAGAGGACAACAAATTGGCAACGGTCGGTGCATGCAGAGAGCCTGTCAGGCAGTCGATATCCATAGCTGGCGATCCCTAAACCCTAAACCCTAAACCCTAAACCCTAATTAAACCCTAAACCCTAAACCCTAAACCCTAAACCCTAGACCCTAAACCCTAATCCCAAACCCCTAAACCCTAGGCCCGAAACCCTAAACCCTCAAACAGGGTTCAGGAAACCTAGCGCCGAAGATCGTGGAAGGCCTGTCATTGATCGTTTCGTCAACGGCTTCCAGAAAGAAAGTCCTGAGCCCGCCACGGAGTGATGGGCTTAGCATTGGCCTGCCTGGTGTCAGGTGCTCTGGGTTCTTTGGTAGACAAAACTCGGCAAGGGCAGTTGTGAGACTTGTGTGTGGACTTTGGAGGTTTGGCAGCTGCATGACGATAATGCAAGGAGTAGGCTGCTGCATGGCGCCTGTGAGCTGCACATGTACACCTAGATCCAAGAACCCAGAGACTCCAAAACCCCTCCTTAAATCATATTAGGGTTCCTATTAAAATTTAAGGGATATTCCTTAATTAAGGGGTTTTGGAGTCTCTGGGAAGGCTTTGGGCGCACTTCGGTTCCCTTCGGTTCCAGCAGTCTCCAATTGTGCCGCTGAGGTTTTCCGGGGTCAGCCACTGGGAGCCTTGGGCGGACTAGGGTTTAGGGTTTAGGGTTTAGGGTTTAGGGTTTAGGGTTTAGGGTTTAGGGTTTTTCGAGCATCCTGATGCCCTCCACCTTCAGACTTGCTGTCACCACGCATGGCACCTTAAAGAGAGTGAGAGGCTGCAGACCCCAGGATGTTCATCGGATCAAGATGGACCGAGAGAACTTCCCAGATGCCTCTTGTGCTCACCTTCAAAGCCCCGAAGCCTCAAAGCAGCTGGAGAGGGGCAGAGTGGGGTTTAGGGTTTAGGGTTTAGGGTTTGCTTTTGTCATGGAGGTCCACGTCGCAGCATTTCCGCGCAGGGGGGTTTCGGTTTCGGGTTGCAAAATAAAGTCCGGAAGCTTTAAACTCTCAGCAAAAAAAGCATCTTGAGCCCTCCGTGCAGTCAGTGCAACCCTCTGCAGACGAAGAACCTGTAGCTGGCATGTACAGCAGAATATGTTGTGCCATTCTCTTTGCCCCCCTCAAGCCTGGACACTGCAAGGTTTGGGCCTACTTCTTCCGCATGTCGGTGCGCCGTCCCTCCCGTGGCGAGGGCGAGGCTTGGTGGTATTCCCTTGGGGTCCCGGGAGCAACGTGCAGAAACGTCGAAAGTCAGTGCGGGCGCAGAAACTCCCAGGGCCTAGCGTAGTGTTGGTGTTGGGCGGTGTAGCTGGGGGCTAGTGGAAGCCCGTGCCCTCCCTTCTCCGAGCTTTAAGTCGAACCTTGGGCCCCTCTGAAATCGTCCCTGCAGTGCGGCTTGCTGCTTGGCGGGTGGCAAGAAACCCCAAACTGAACCTCCATCAGCCCCGAAGCAGAAAGCAAGAGAATGTTTCTGCAGTCATTTGCCTGCCGTCCTGGCTTCTTCCTGAAGTGTCCGCCAACTCGCGGTCTTCTGCTGACAGCCCAAGGCAGACAAGCCACTCGGAGTTTCGGGCTTCGCGCTCTATCGGAGAAACCCTCAACCCTGAAATGTCCAGCTTTTGTATCTCAAATTAGGGATCCCCTTTTTGGGGAGGAGGGGGGGAGTCCTTGTAAAGGGACGCTGCTAGCTAGAATTTGGGGTACGGGGCGCCACCCGTACTTTTCGGAAACTCGCAACTACTTCGATGCCTGGATTCTGCCGGTTTAGGGTTCAGGGTTTAGGGTTTAGGGTTTAGGGTTTAGGGTTTAGGCCTCCGAAAGGTGAGAAGCCGGGCTCGCTTCTATGTGCTGCGCGCCGATGATGGCAAGGTCTTCAGGGTGTGTGGAATTCGGAGTTTAGGGTTTGCAGTTTAGGGTTTAGGGTTTAGGGTTTAGGGTTTAGGGTTTAGGGTTTAGGGTTTAGGGTTTAGGGGGTTCTGCAGTTTAGGGTTTGGGTCTGAGTTGGGCTCAGTGGTATTCCACCCCTCCCCTGCTGAAACCCAGAGGTGGCCTCTAGATGTTGAATGGAGATGCTAGCCGCGCGGCTCTCACCTTGTTCTGGCTGCACCCGAAGCTGAAAGTCCTCTGATCTTTGCATGCTGCCCTTACCCTGCAGCTTCCGGTTTGTGCAGGTCTTCCCCTTCACCCGGCCCACGATCGCAGGGTGCTCAGAGGTATTGATGTCCCTTTGTTGACCATGTCGTTGTGTGTGAGTGCTGCTGCCGGAGAGACAGTTTAGAGGATAAGCCATGTCGCGCCGCTCTTAAGAGTCCTTCCTACCGTAGACCCAGTAGACTCGGAACCTTTGCCCGCAAAAACCGGTACAGCAGCCCCATGTCTCGGTCCGGAGTTCCTGCCCCTGAAGTTTGAAGTCCCAGGGCGAATCGAGCTTCTCTCTGAGCAAAGGAGCGGCGCACCAGTTGCTTGCTGATGTTGGGTTTGCTGTCGCATCAGCGGTAGTGGTCGGCTGCGGGTGCGCACTTGCTTCCAGAAAGTGCAAAATCTCCTTAGTTTTCACGTCGCAAGGAGATGAGTACAAGTTCTGCTGGTGTCTGCTTACTGGGCGACAGCTTCAGCGTGCAGCGGCCGCTCTGGATACAGAGAGTTTGACTTGAGGTCCTAATCGAGCTTTGAGAGGCCCGGTGTGCAGGTTGAGAGTTTTGGGGGTGGCAACGCCCAAGGGCCCGGGGGTGTAGCAGGCGTTGGTGGTCAAGGTTATGGAGTTTCAGGATAGCTTGAGACGGGCCCCTGTCTGCAAGTGCGTCGCAACGCATCCCAAGTGGTCCGACCATGAAAGCAGCCCCGTGAAGGCAGCCACGCAATGCTGCCCAGCCCCCGAAAATCTACAACATCTTCCGAGATCTCCTCGATCCCATTAACATCTGAAGCCATTCGGAATTTCACTCGGAATGAAGTCCGTGAGTTCACGCAAGTAGTCGAAGGTCTGTGAAGAGCAGCGGCGCTCAGATGAAAGCAATTCAGACTTCGAACCGCTCAATTTCTGGTTCGCATGCTATGTATCTTGCACCGCCTCCACTGAGTCTCCAGCTTTGTGAAGAAAAGTAAAAGACAGGAGAGAGGCGGTCTGCAACCGGGCCCGGACACTCTGCAGATCTGAGTTCATCACTAGTTCGCTCATAGATGCCCCTATTGAAATTAGGCGAATTCCGTTTCTATTTGGTGCATTCTGCTGTGGCTACATCGCGGCTGACAGCCGGCCGAGCCTGCAGGAATGCCCTCATTCCTGACGTACATTGACTGGCCCAATTCCCAAAGCCACACATTGGCGTACACTCTCGTCATCCTTTTCTCTAGGTCCAGATCTCAGGTCGCGGACCGCTTCCTTTGTGGTCGTCTTTGTTGGGCTTGCCCTCGCCTTCCCCAGTACGCGATTCCAACCCTGATCCTGCTTCCAGTCCTTCCCTTGCTCCTGAAGTGCCAAGATGCTGGGCGCGGCCCACCTAGAAGTCCCAAAGATCAGCACCTCGACATGGGGTCCCAGGCCATGCATGTCCAGAATTATCTTCCCCACACCCTGAACCCTAAACCCTAAATCCTAAACCCTAAACCCTAAACCCTAAATCCTAAACCCTAAACCCTAAACCCCTAATTCCGAAGCCACCGAAGGCCGGCATGCTCCTGGAGGGCTCGACCGATGGACAGCCTGAGCGACATGGCGTCCTTTATGGCAAGACAGTGGGTTTAGGAATTAAGGGTTTAGGGTTTAGGGTTTAGGGTTTAGGGTTTAGGGTTTAGGGCTCTACTTGGAGGTCCATGGGTACTTTTTAACCAATTATCCCGGTACTTGTAGGGTTTAGGGTTTAGGGTTCAGGGTACTTCTTAACCAATTATCACTGTACTTTTCATTGTACTTACAACCATAGGCTTACAAGTGGGGCATAAGTACAGTTATAGTTGGTTAATACGTACCATGACCCTCCAAGTGCTACCGGCAAGGAATGGTCCTTGTCAGCGACGGGCCCCTTTGTAAAGGGAAATATATACAGGCACCCCATGACAGAGCGGGACCCCGCACCCCGTCAAAATGGACTGCAGAGCCAACCTCCACAAGAAGTGCCCTCGAGCTTCAACTGAGCTACGCAGCCCTAGCAGTCGGAGCCTCAAAGCCTTGGGCAAAAAGAGCTCAGGTTTCACAGCGAAGAGCTGCCCGTCCTTTTCCCGATGGGGGCTCCTGAGGCTGTTTTGGGAGGGCTTTGGGAGGTCGCGGTTTTGGTGTTTAAGAAACCCTAAACCCTAAACCCTAAACCCTACACCTTAAACCCTAAACCCTGAGCCCGAAACCTTATAAACCCTAAACCGCTACATCTCCCTGCAGAGCCCCCTGGACAGATCGACCCGACTGAAGCTGCTGCCTTGGGGGAGACCGGGCCGCATGGGGTGGGGGGTGGGTGGGTGGGTTTAGGGTTTAGGGTTTAGGGTTTAGGGTTTAGGGTTTAGGGTTTAGGGTTTCGGGTTTAGGGTTTAGGGTTTAGGGTCTAGGTCTAGGGTTTAGGGTTTAGGGTCGGAATAATTACTATAATAGTATTCCCTTATGGTCCCTGATCTTTATTCTAAAAGAACGCCCCCTCCCCCCCAAACCTATTGTAATTATAAAGGCCCCTATATTCGGTTCAAAGGGCGTGTGGTAGACCTTGGCGCGCCCAGTAGGGGCCGAGAGGAACCTGCTGGAAACATGACCCTAAACCCTAAACCCTACCCTAAACCCTGAACTCCTCATGTGCCGGAGGTTGAAATGTGCAGAGGTGAGCGCGAGCGCATGAGCATGAAACCCATCTCAAGGATGGCTACACTTTCACGGGGCACTTGGACCTGCGCGCCATCGCAGGCTTCTAGGACACAGGCCCCATTCTTGCCATTATTATGATTCTGATTATGATTCTGATTATGATTATGATTATTATTATCACCATCATTTTTATAATTATCATCATCATCATTATTGTCATTATTGCTATTCTTCTTCTTAGTTTTTATTTTAATTACCTACCACTCACCCTTTTCGCATGATGGCCGGAGGCCGCGGCGCAGCGGCTGACCGCAGTGCGACCTTCAATACCTTCGCGCCCAGGAAATGCAGAGAGTGTCAGGCCCTGGCAAATGCCCGGAGCCCTTCATTGGCATTTTTCGCATTGTCTGGGCGCCTCCCAGACTGCCTGCAGAAAAATAGTCGTGAGCAGTGAATCAGGGGTGATCTGCCACAGAAGCTGCTTTACATGGTTCCAAAATGCTAAATGAGGCATCGCGACCTCAAGCCTACATTCGCCACCAGTAAGCTTTTGCCGAATCTTCTGTTTTTCGCCCTGCGCAGTGTGAGCCCAATCCAACTCCCGCCACATCTCCATTGGGGCTCCCTTGGTGCGGTGCTTTGACTCAGTCTCCCTTCGCGTCCATGTCATGAGAGTCGACAACCAATGAAGTGCCTGCGCCTCGTGAGCCTTTGCTGATCCAAAGCCACACCATCGGCAATGCGACACCTTACAGAGCACTTGCAGCTAAGACACCATCACAGATCCCCACAGCATCAAACCCCGGCATCTAAAAAAACCCGACCGCCCGGTGTCAGAACCCACTTCCTCTCCTACCCTTTACGCCATTGTTGGCATGTTCTTGGCACCGATGCCTGGGGGGGGGGAAAGCAGGGAGAGCTGTGGATCAGGACTCTGAGGCAACATGCCCACCCCCCTTTCCCTAGCCCCTAGCACTTGGAATCCCGAAAGACGTCGGTCACAGCTCCGATGGCCGACGGCGACGCAGCATACTTCAGCGGCCCACTGCAGCTGATTCAGATCGACGATGATGGCAAGTGCCACCTTCAGGCAGGGTTTCTTACTGTTGGTTCGTAGGGAATGAGGGAATGAGGTCCCCTCTATAATCCCGCAAAGGGTGTTTTTTGGGGGGATACCCTATAAAATCCCTTATAGTGTGTATGTAAGGGGATGTAGGGTACCTCATTCCCTGCTTCTCTACAAACCAACAGTATAGCTTTGGACGTCGGGGATTGTGCACAAACGTTTTTGAGTGCTCCAGAATTGGGGGGTTTTGTAAAAGCAGGGGTCCTAGAACAAGCAGGAGAATGCCGCGGCCATCCTCAACCAGATTCCGGGGAGACTGGCGTAGCTGGGCTGATTCACGGAGAGAGATCGTACAGACGGTACAGTGTCGCATCCGCACCCCAAAGTTGAAATCATCCGCTTTTGGCGAGTTCTGAAAACCTGACTTGCCGAGGATCGTGGGCATTGCCGGGTTGTACCGGACCGGGAAGTCCTTCCTTCTGAACCGTTTGCTAGGCCACGCGGCAAGATTAGCACAGGCTGCTGTTCAGAACCGTTCAGGCGTGTCAGGTGACAGGCCCGGACTTCTTTTAAACGCAAAAGCATCAGCGTGCGTTTGCGGGTGAGAGTTTGCACAGATGGGGCAACAATGAGTATCAGGAGAAGGCAGACAATTGCTGGATGGTGGAGAGCCTTTGAGAAGCTCTGGGTGCTAGCCGCCGTGCACACAATCTGTCACATGCCGAGACCGCCAGATGAGATGCTAGTAGAAGTCAGAAATAGACGCGGCAGAGTTCTCCGAGTTGGGACCAAGCAAGATCCTCGAGAGCCTGCCGAAATCAGTGGCAGAAAGAAAGGGCGGGCACACACGCAAGGGGGGGACCGGACCTTGAGCTCACTGCCTCCGACTCGGATTTGCTTGATAGGGTCCTTGTCAGAAGCTCACGACTGCGAGCGGTAGGGTGCTTTGCGTGCCATTTGCGGAATCCTGCGAAGAAGAGGGGCGGGGGGAAGAGCACACTAGTGACACTAGTGCTTTCAAATCTGGTCCGAGCTGTGGATCCTGCTCATTTGGGTTGATGCCTTTGACAACAACCGTCAGGGTGACAACGTTAGGCGTAGTCTTTTTGTGTGGTACCTGTGACTAACAGTGAGAGAGATAATTGCAGGTTTGCAGGACGGTTTCGAGATTGGCCCGACCATCAATCCGTGCACGCCCCTCGGCTGCAAGTTGGCCGTTCTTGACTGAAGCTGAAAGTTTCGGTTCTCTGTTGATTGAAGATGTTCTGGGTCCAAAATGTTATAAACTTCGGCATGTAGCGTTGGCGGTGCCATGCAGGATCGTGGCCCCAGCCGATGTCTTGTGCCGGGCCGCATGTAGGTTCTTGTGTGTTCTCTCTTTCGCCAAGTCCACGGTCAACGCTCAAAAAATGAAGAGAACTTTCATTTACATTGCAGAATGCACATAACCTTTCAACGATGCGCAGCTGGCATAGCTCCACCCCTGCATTGTCACCGCCATGCAACCCTGTGCAATCCTAAACCCTTAAACCCCAAACCGCCAGGCCCGCAACCCTGAAACCTCGAAGGAAGGGCCTTTGGATTTGGGGCCAGCCAGTTCAGCTGGCGCCGGACTGCGTAGTGGAGTGGTCGATAAGCAAACATGTTCGCCAAGTCATGGTCATGATCCCCTTTATGGATCCTTGTTATGTGTTATGCACCCCTGATTTGCGCGTGGGTTCAAAAGCTTAAAAGCCGCGTGACTCGAGCAAGCTTTTGTGGAGCCAAGCGGCATCTATGGTGCTGCTTTCTTACACAGTGATGTTGGCCTTCGGTGCGAAAAGGGGGCTAAGTCTTGCGAGTGCTTGCGTATCGAAGCCGGGCCCCTACATGGAACTGCGGTAGGACTACTTCTGCGTCCTCATCGACACGGAGGGCCTGGGCTCAACGCAACGCACAGCGAGCTGTGACATGCAGATCCTGTCGCTTTGCATCCTGCTGTCCTCGTGCCCGTGCTTTCTTGGACGCACGGTCTGTGTGTGTGTGTGGCTATACCTGAACCACCCGAGCCCGTTGGAGTTCTTACACGCGCCTGCCCTCGTTGTCATGCTACTTTTCAGGTACTTTATCTACAACTCCATGGGGGCGATAGACGAGCAGGCTCCAGCTGGCATTTCTGCAGTGCCGGCTGAGGCTTTAGCTTGGTTGGCTGACACGTATGGCTTTGTGTACTCACTGATTGCGTGGAGTCAACTTTCTGTTTCTGACATTTATTTCCCATGCGCTCTCTATGTGTGCGGGTGTGTGTGCGGGCGCGCAGCAAAGGGCGGGCTCGCCTGATCCTTGATCTCGGCTTCAGTTTGGCCAGAGTCCTCTGTAGGCATGAGACTGGTGCTTCGTGGCCCTCAGCCCTGGCATCTTGCGCTGGATGGATTGCCCAAATAACCCTAATAACCCTAACAACCTCAATAACCCTAACAACCCCAATAACCCCAAGAAAACCCTAACAACCCTGACAACCCTGATAAGCCTAGTAACCCTGATAACCCTAAGAGCCCTCCTGGCGAGGCCATTGACGATCTCCATCTTGTGCTGCACCTGGCGAAGCACATCCATGTGAAGAGCCACCGCCGCAACGAGGTGCCAAAGAGATGGCCAATCGACCCCCGAACTGGTTTAGGGTTTAGGGTTTAGGGTTTAGGGTTTAGGGTTTCATTGAAGCCTGAAAAGCGGCACGGCAGAGTCTGCGGAACCGGAAGCCTCAAACCCCGTAGTGAGTGCCAGAAACCAACTTGGACCCACGCTTGTCCATGCAGTTTGCGTGCCACAGAATGTGTCGAACCCAATAACCACTGAAACTCACCAAATGCAGCCCCATGCACCATGGGGAAGGAGGAGAAGTCTGCGGACCTGGCCCAATATTTTCCTCTCTTCCTCTGGGTTCTGCGAGACTTCCACCTCCGCCTGGCCGACGAGCCGCTGGGCACGTTAAGGTAAGGTCTTTACCTTTGTCATAGTTGGGTAACATTTTACATGTTTCAGGGTACTTAAACCCAATAAGGAATATATATATATATATATATAGACGTAGATTTTTAATACTATCCCAACCATGAACTAGTTACAGGCGCAGCTGCGCTGTGTCTGTGCAGGTAGCATTGCGCGCAGGCATCCTGGTTCTCAGGGCCGTGTAGGTTTTTTGGAACGAATATATGTTAGGCCCAGGTGATTTTCCCGGTTATGGAGCATGCTGAGATTTTAATTTCAGTTTTCACCAGATGCAAACCCACAGCCCGCACCAAGGTCCGGAGCGCCTATCTCCGAGAAGGAGCCTCCGCTGCATGCAGGTATTCTTGGGGTCGAAATCATTGGAGTAGGGTTTTTGGGGTATCAAAGGAAAGATACGAAAAATATGCAGGGAGCATAAGGGAACAGTATGAACTATTCCCACGCCTTTTTTACATTTCGAAGAAGGTGAGCGTCTGCTTATGAGCCTCTGCAGAATGAGGGTTCGGGAGGTCCTTCTTCAGGGCTTCAGGGGAGAGTGAATGGGCCTTTTTCAAGTTGACATAACTTCTTGAAGTCAGTGGGGGCTGATATACCATGGTGAGCCTGATCTCGCACCTGCATCCTTCTTGTCAACTACAGTAACTGCAGCCGAGCGTGCTGGGTTTTTTTTTTTCACATGCAGGCGTATGTTGTCCCGGCCAAAGTCAGGAGTATCTGGAGCGAGCCTTGCAGTCTGTTCGAGGTTCGGGCGGGTTCATGCTGACAATGGCAGGTCTTGAAGATGTGAGCGTTCACAGGGTACCAGGATTTTGGCCACGTTTGCAAAGCCATCCGATCATGTCGAATCTGTTTGGGCAACTCTTGCCACTTCGCGTCTGCCTAGCGGCAGGTCAAGACGACAAGAATAAGCTGCGGGATGTCATCAAGGACGTCATCCGGGTATCCGGAGAGCCCAATATTGCTTAATTAAGTAATATTCCTTAAATCATATCCAGGATCCCTATATGATTTAAGGTATATTCCTTAATTAAGCAGTATCGGGCTCTTTGGGTACATGTATGCTTAGTGTCAGGTGGTTTGTCCGTGTCTTCTCAAGCCACGCCACGTCCTCAGCAGAGGACCTTTTCCGGGAGCGCGACTGCGCCACCATCGTGCGGCCTGTAGTGGATGAGGCAGACCTGCGCAACATCCAGAAGCTGCCGCGAGCTCAGCTCCAGCTGGGGGCAGGGGATCTGCGACCTGACAGGGGGTGCCCCAATCTTACTGGGCGCGCTCTTGGGCTGAATTGCTTGCCGATGCGTCTGAGTGCAACCCCCCCGGATCAGGGTTTAGGGTTAGGGGTTTCGGGTTCAGCCCTGGTCCCAGCTGATGCTCAGAGCCTGGTTCAAGGACTTTGGGGCTTTGGGATCTGGCGGTGTCTGTTGGTATCAGATGCGAAAGAGTTGAGGCCGTACGAGTCCCTGCGTCCGGAGTTCCGCGAACAGGCGAGGAGCATGTTTCCGTGGTACTCTATGGTGGCTTAGGGTTTAGGGTTTAGGGTTTAGGGTTTAGGGTTTAGGGTTCAGGCTCGAGAGACGACGGCTCAGCATCCTCGATTTGATTGATGCGGTATGCCGGGGTGAGGGGACATTGCGCACAGACGGTGCGTGTGTTATCATCTCTCTTGCTGGTTAGTCTCCAGTTGCCCTAAACTGCCCGAAGCTGGTGCTTGCATATTCTACAACATGGCATGATGCAACATGATAACGCGAGGTGATCGAATCACACAATCGGCTTGCTAGAATACCAGTACGGCATAACAAAATCCATATAGTCATCGTGTGGAGAGCCGAAAGCCCTGGCACCCAGCCTGGAGTGACAGGTGGAGGCCTTTGTGAAGAAGGTGTACATGCTCCGCGGCAGAACCGATTTTCCGATCCGTATTGAAACCCGCGCCTTGCGAGATAGGGGAATTTCCCGAAAAAGGGGTACCCTTGTACACACCAAATAGAGCACGATCCCCTTAAAGGGGCCCCCCAAAAAGGGGTATATTGAACTTGGGAAACCCCCAAATCCAGCTCCGCACACCCGGAAAAGCCAGTCGAAATGACGGTTCGGACGTGGACTTGATCTTTTTCCCCAAGCCCCCCAAAGCGCTTCAACACACGAGGTTCCTGAAACCCAAGAAGATCGATGGACAGCCGATAAACGGGGCCATGCTGGTGGAGTTGGCCGGCGAGTACTGTGCTTGGGGCATCCAAGAGTTTTTCTGCAAAAGGGCCGGTTCTGGGAGTCTTGTGAAAGGGTGTGGGGCCTGCAGGGTTTTGCAGCAATCGGCTTGGGCGTTCGCTTGCGGTTTCGGGATGCAGGGCAATCTGAGCTAGTAAGCGCGAAATGAGCTCCAGAGCCTCTGGTTGCCTTGCGGCGCTTGGAGACAGAACCTGAAACTCCCAAGCACCCCTTGGCCCCAAACCCTAGAGCCTCAACCGTCAGGAAACTTTGTTCCGGTGGGTTGCCGAGTTGTCAAAGAGAACTCCCATCTTATCCACTCCTTCCGGGTTAAGGTAAGGCCATCAACAGCAGAGTTGTTCCGACGATCCAATCTGCCTGGACGTCCGTGGTACAGCACCAGCTGCGACTGTCACTGAGGGATGCAGTCCAGCTGTACCGCTCGAGGACCGGCTAGCAGGTAAAAAGGTGCTTCTTTTGTTTGCGTCACCCGAGGGACATGTTCAGAGAGCTTGTAGGGCGGTCGAACGTCGAAGGCTGTAGAAGAGGAGGGAGCCATCTTGGGGCTTCTGTGTGTATTTAGCCAACCCTGATCCCAGAACCCGAACGAAACCCAAGGCCCAAGGAGGCGAAACTCTTAGTGCTCTGGGTCCGAGACAGTGACAGATGCTTGAGGTATGATGGTAAGAACCTTTAAACTCCCCATCCCCAGCAAGAATCCGCCGCCGGGAGGATGAATGAAACGGCGATGCAGCACCTGCCCGTCTCAGACGAAAAGCCCGTTGGCCGAAGAAGAAGAAGACTTTCTTGAGGGGTTCTTTGCCTACAGCAGCGGGTCAAAGTCTCTTTGAGCTTCTGACGGCTTCATAGGGGGACTGACTCAACATGGTCTGGTAGATCGAGCAACAAAAGCGCCAAGGCCCCTGAGCCCTTTCGTGATACGTGAACTGGCAGGCATTTTTCAGGCAGGCATCGCCACCCCAATCGCAGATGCCGGTCCAAATACCCCCTAGAAGGCTATTGGTGTGGTCCCTAAGTCGAACTGCCTCAAGTGCTCCCGTGAACCTTCGGGCAGTGACCTCAACCGCAGGAAGCGAGCCCAAATACTGCACCTTGCGGACAAAGATTGGCAGAGAGAATTCCAGCCCTTGCATATAGGTTGAGGGAGCTGCACAAAGAGGCGAAGGCGGACGCTCTCAAGAGACTCGGCTCGTTGTCATGTTCCTCATAGCGTAAGCCCCGTGTGCTGCTTAGGAGGATTGCCTCTGCTCCCCAGAGTACTAAAACCAAACCCCCAACAGGGATCCGACAATGGATCTGACAAGGTTTTGCTGTGCCATGGAAGCTCATGCGGTGTCTTGTGGCCGGGCAGTCTTTGCAAAAGGGTATATGCAGTAAGGAGGCTGATGAGTTGGTTCAGTGTGTCTTGCAGAAAAGGGAGTCGCGTCGGTAAGCTGGCAGCCGTAGCAAGCAAAAATCCTCGCACCAAAGGTCCCCTAACTTTGAACGACACCCGAACTGCAAGGCACAACACCAACAGTTCAGATTGAGCTCTGAGCGTGGGATGTATTGGATCCCCTCGGTACAAGTTATTGTGAGAACGTGCCATTCGGCCTGCCAGCCTGTTGGGTGGACAGAATCGGAAGGGGATGCACTAGCTCTGTGGGGCTTGGGAAAGCTTTCTGACCAGCACTGCAAATGCCCACAAGCCTGTGAGGCACTTTCGGGTGCCCGGATGCCTTTTCCCGCACGCAACCTCTGAGCAGCAATGCACAACAAACGCCTTCATCGCCCCCTCCCCCCCCCCCCCCAGCCCAGGATCTTGCTCGGCGCGCGGTTGGATGCGGATCCCAGGTTCAGGGAGTGTCGGGCGCAGCCACTTTCCCGCACCTTGGGGTTCAGGATCCACAGCCGGTTTGGGTGGGGGGCATGGAAAATCTTTGGCCGAAAGCTTGAGGGGACTCCGAAGCTTAGGTTCTCCGCGCGTGTCCGCCAGCTTTATGGCCACGTGACTGCGGAGTCTTGGTTCCAGAGTTCAGTTGCGCTTGAGGCGGCTGAAGTGCTTGCCATGGCAATTTCGTCAATGGTAACCTTCATGCAGCAGCGTTTGCCGAGCCCTGCGCGGTGCATGGGAAGAGATGTTCACAACCATCCTTGACATGTTCTCTCTATTCATCATTCCCTAAACCCTAATCCCAACCCTAAGCCCTAAACCCAAGAGAAGGGTGCCATGCCTTGGTTGTGGGCTTGCGGGTATGAGAGAGCTGGTCGAATCTGCGACGATACCGGGCCCGAAAATCGGTGCATGCATCGATGGCTTTCGGGTTTAGGGTTTAGGGTGACGCTAATGACATAACAGACGTCCTTGCTCCCAATATGGAGCTCTCGGACTCGTAAGGTGTAGCATTGTGTTCTGTCAGATCCTGGATTTCTGCTTCCTTCGCCGAGCTCTGAAAGAACGCGCTGTCTGCTTGCAAGGAGAACCTGAGCGCATCCCAGCGGCAGTGTGACCGCCTCGTGCCTGTGCTCGAATCTGGGAGGCCCGAGGTAGTAGGTTAGGACTCTTTCGGGTTTTTTGGGTAGGGTTTGCATGGCTTATTCCAAGAGGGGTACTATACTGCTAGTATGAGGGAGGAACATGCCAAGGCTTGTTTATTGGGGGGAGTGAGACCCCCGAGATGTCTTGGCTCCGATGCACCTGGGAAGCGGGCCCAGGCACACGAGCTGTACAAGCCGGTTGAGCAGAAGGCTGGGTTTAGAAGGGTTTAGGGTTTAGGGCTATAGGTTAAGGGGACGTCGAGCTGAAGGGTCTGAGCTCCGAATCTATGTGCCGAAACCCCGTAACTGCTCAATCCCCAGCACGGAAGCTTACAGTTCTGCAGACGTTTTTTTTTTTTTTTTGTCTGGGCTTGTGTGAACTGGGTACATTCTGGCCAGCACGAGCTTTTGAAGACATGCTCGACTCGTATCATTCTTGTTGAGGAGCGTTTGTGCCAGTGCAGTGCATGTGGACGAGGCGGCAGGAAAATCCCGGTTTTTTCCATGTGCGAGAGTGAGACAGCCAAGAATCCGCTGAGAGGTCCAGGCACCTGGTACCTACACAAGCTTTCACGACCTGGCGGCCGATTGGGACCGTGCAGTTAGGGATTGAGATATATATAGGGGTTTGGGGATGTTGAAGCTGTTTAGGGCTAAGGGCTGAGTGTCGAGTTAGGTTGGGGAAGTCGTGGGTGTCGGCGTTTCCAAGCCCTTTCCTTCGGATCTCATCCTTTGATGTCCCTGACTTCCTTCTGACCCTTCCCAATGTCATTGCAATGAGTTGCCGCCCGGCTTCGAGAAGGCTTAGAGGCACCAGGCCCACAGATCCCTCTCTTCCACCTCAAGCCGTTGCCTCGCACCCTCAAAAAGGACCCGAGGTGCCCCCAGCAGACTCGGGGCATGGGGGGACCACGGCCCCATGGGAAAGTAATCGGGCCGTTGCGTCATCATGTGCATCCGACGTCTTCAGCCTCGTGTGAGCGATGAAATCTTACCAGGACCGGCTCAGGCAGGCCTACCTGCAGAAAGCCCAGGGCCCGGCAAAGGCGGAGGCGCAACCATGTCTCGTTGGCAACCTTTGCAACGGCACAAATGCTGTTCTATCAGAGCAGCCATCTGGGCAGCACGCGTGAAGCCTGCATCATAGCCGCGCTGCTTGTTGGCAAGTTGAGAGCACAACGTCAGACAAGAATGTAACGTTTGTCAAGGCACGGCGCCCTCACAACAAATCATAGTAGTTCACAGTAAGTCATATGGAATCGTAAGAATCAGAACAGCAATATAATCACAACAATCATATGCATATACATGTATGTGTGTGTTTTCAGAGTATATATATATATATATATATATATATCTAATACTTCTCTAATCATAAGAGAACAGTGGCCAGCCTCATGTTACATAGATTCTCGGTTCCCCAAGCCGGCACACCGGGGCCAGGTGCTCTTGGGCTGGCTGGGCTCTCAACTGCTGCAGAGCGCGCAGAAGGTCTGGGACGATTTCCACGCGGCTTCTCGGCAGGGTTTGGGGTTTAGGGTTTAGGGTTTAGGGTTCAGGTTTCAAAAAAAGGGGTTTACCAGAGGCAGTCGCACGTTCAAGGATGGTGAAAGTTCGCAGGGGTCCCTCGAAACGATTTGTGAACAACGGCGTCTTCTGTTTCCATACGACAACTGCTTCGTTGGTTCAGGTGAGGCACGGATCTGTCCTCAGAAATAAATTCAACAAGACGAATCATTGTGCTCACAACAGGCGAGGCATAAGAAGACTTAGTATAACTCCGCGCCTCCAGGCCAAAACGCGCTACTTACCATGCAGCAATCGCACTTCAAAGACCTCCTCAATACCCTGCCTGCCAGCCGCTGCCCTCATTCTATCCTAGACACCAAGTTTGATGCTCTAAGATCATGGTTCTTATTCTTAGAATATGATCGTTATGCCTCTTGTGCTTATTAAGAGTACTCTGAAAATCACTATGCTTTCTCAATGCTCTCTCCTTCAGGCGGCGGAGGAACGCAGCCAGGCCGTAAAGAAGCAGCTGGCTGACGCGGAAGCACGCTTCCTCGGCCTCAAGCACCTGGGCAGAGTTCTTTACAGGATAGTAAAGGGTTTTGGGTTTAGGGTTTAGGGTTATTGTTGATTCCAGCGTTTAGGGCAAGGCCGTTAGGTAGTTATGTTCCCTGAAATCCTCAGAGGTGAAATTCTGCGATAGTTTATGCGTCCTGCTTCCTTCAATTTCCCTGCTCAAACCCCTTGGCCGAAACCCCTTGGCCGGCCTGGCTTCTAAACTCGTGTGTACACTTTTCGTCCAAGCACTGGTGAACGCACTATTTTTTTGTGAAAATGAATTGTGAGCGCGTGATGCGACTTAACCTGAAATAGCTGATTTGTCAAGGCGAGCTTTTGTTCTCTACTTTCGCTTATCTACGTAACTTTTCTCCTGCAACAGTTTGGATAGGTCTCCCAGAATTTTCAATGGAGGATCCCCTGATTTCAGGATGTCAGAGGATTTTGAGGATGCTTCGATTCTGGGCAAATCCCTCCCATGAGCACGAGCAATACCGCCCCCAGGTCCAACACAGAGGAGCATACCAGTCACAACATCGGTGTGGAGGTTGCCAGAAGGCCGGTGCAGCATCAGAGTTCCGGGTTGGTGCCTAGTGCCTGGCAGTGTTCCTCTGTTCTTTCATCCAAGCTTCGAGCTTTCTGTTCTGCCCAAGCTTCGGGGCCTGCAGGAAACAAGCCATGATACACATGTGAGCTAGTGCAAAAGCAGTTGTGGTGGCCTTAGGTGTTTCATACAATCCCCGAAAGCCGTGTACGCTTCTGATATACACAGTACGTGCTGCTTGCGTTTTTTGGCAGATAGCACGGGGAATGTGCCCAAAGTGGTGTATTGGTGGAGTGGACCTCCCCGGCCAAGGAAGACCCCCGAACTTCAGCTGTTAGCGCTTTTCTAAAATATGGTCCCCTTTGGGGTTATCACAAGGCGGCCCCTAATATTTCGGGTTTAGGGTTTAGGGTCCGCAAGTTTGGATCCGGCTGAGCTTGGAGTCAAAAAGGGTTTAGGGTTTAGGGTTGTAAGCCCCAGACCCTAAACCTAAACCCTAAAAAAGGGGGCCCCTAATTTAGAGAACTGATCCGCTGCTTGCCTCCCCCAAAATTTCCTATGTCAAAGAGCCCGGAACTTCCGGGAGGATGGAGCTGGAGCGGCTCTTGGAGGAGATTCTTGGGTTTAGGGTTTAGGGCTAGGGTTCAGGGTTTAGGGTTTAG